AAATACCATGCGAGTTTTATTTTATGTTTTATGGTAACCATAAAAAAATAAATAGTGATGATTATTAATCCCAAGAACAATCACCTGCTCTGTTTAACACTCTAGCTAGATCATTACAGGCTACAGTATTCTTAATACTGTAACAGTTGGAAGTGCTGCAAATATGATCTGACATTTTTAATCGGGGAATTTATTCTTGTGATAGCAACGATGTCCTGCAGAGGTCATACAAACATCCGTTCTAACATGTTTCACAAGTTCACAGGTAGTTACTGATATACTGTACTTTGTGTATCTTAGCTATCTCGTTTCCTTTTTAATCCATACACTCATGAAGAAAAACGTTGTAATTTACCTTTTTACTTTTTATTTTTTCCTCATGACATACCCCGTGCACGCATATAATCAATTGCTTGAAAATCCATATTAAAAAAATAATTCGATTTTAAATTAGTCTGTAAACCCTTTATTTTACTATCGACTTTATATTTTTTTCGAATTATTAAAATAAAAGTACAAAACATTTTGTATTTATTAAAGGACTGTAAATCAATACTATATACAATCTGTGGCCCTCTATTATGCCATCATTTCCCAAAGAACTCATTGCTTCCCTTTTAATGTCCAAGAATATTTTCTATTGTGCAGCAAATCTTTGAGGAAGCCAGTAAAAGGTGTGCTGAAATTCTACAATGATCTTGCTCAATCTGAAAGAGCCATCATTTTTTTAAGTTCTTCATTATTAGACAAAAAGTTTAGTTTCTAGAAAGAGTTCTACTAGGATATTAAAGACATTTTATGATTATTAAAAGTTCTAAAATTAGAAGAGTACTTTTTAGTAACAATAACTTGGTTTAATAAGGACCACTTATCTTCACAGTCCATCTCACAGTCCAGCTATTTTCAACTGTTTTTCAATACTACCACTTTTCAAACTTCCTGCAAGGACCCCCTTGTGTAAACAGATAAAAAAAGCAAAGTCATGGTATAACAATCATATATTAAGAATTAGAACAAAACATTATTTAATTATGTTTCTTTGGCACATTTGTGGTTGTAAATAATTCAGGACCTTGGGGATCTCCTAATTTTCTTTTAAGAAGAATGCAGTAACAGATGGACCACAGACCAGAAATGAGTCCAACAAGTACACTTCAAATGTAGGAGTCCAGTTTCGGCAGCAGTTGACTAGGCCAGCTTGGGAAGGTCGTGGTAATCATTCCGCTCCACATTTTCCTGTAACTGCTTCCATGTTGTGTGTCTCAGGGAGGGTGTGGTCAATTCTGTTTGCTGAGCTTTAAGGCTCAGGCTGCTCTGGACACAGACCTGACAGAGAAAAGAGATGACAGAGAAAGGAGCTGCTCCCTGAGAGATGCTGTGGCAGAAGAACATACCATAGATGCTGCTAGGAAAACGTTGTTGATTTGTGACTAAGGAATGTTGCCTGACGACCCACCTGCTGCTTGATGTCTACATCGTGACATCTTGGAAGAGGTGTCTCATTCTCGAACCCACTTACAGTCTGGGCACAGTGGTTTCACATTCTCAGTAAGAGAAATGGTTTGCTGGATTGTGATCCCTTTCACACTTTCAGCCATATCACTCGTAGGCTCGTGGACAGTGTAAGTAAAACATTTTTTTTTTACTTTGCAAAGGACATGTTTGACAGATGTTTGTCATGCATCAAAACGGCAAAACGACTCTTTAACGGCCAAAAGTCACGTTATTCTTTGCTTGATCTCTGCCTATGGACATGGAACCCAACTTACTGACATTTCTTAAACGATAAAAACCTTTTCCTCATATCTCCAGAGTTCTAATTGTTCAACTGCAGAATATTTCTTATGAAAGATGAAGGAATTTAATGAAGTAATGAAACCTTTCACATGCTCTGTTCTTGTTTATTTCACACTTCCTTTTGCTTTCACAGTCCTGTGCTTCGTGAGCAGAACAATACCTGGAAAAGGTTTATAGTGATCTGTTCATCTCATACTGTATGTCTTAGGAAGTATTTTCACACCATGTCTAACATTATGAGTTACATGTATTGTTTTTATCAGTATGAATAATTGTATTTTGCCTTTGAATTTCTTCTTACTAACTGACCATTCTTTTCAAGGTTATTTATAAGCTATTATTTATTTTTTTTTCTAGTATATCTGAGCATTTTGTACCTTGAGAAAGCTTTTTTCTTCACACATATTTAAGAAAATACTTATCAACATTCAGAGAGGAATCTTTTAAAATTAACATTCTATATAACTGACCTGCGATATGATGAGAGTTAGCTGTTGTGATCGCAAATGGAAAGTGTATATTAGAAACACTTCCTGCTTTCACACGGCCGAGTTAACTAGAGTAATCTCTTTTTCAACATATGTTATCTTTGCTTAAATTATTGGATAAGCTATAACAAGTTTAGTCTGTTTAGTGGGGAGGTTACAATGAGGGCTGTAGAGAGGGGGTTATGGTCAAAGGGCAGGGTGCCCAAACTCTGGCCCTAGCCTGCGATAGGTTTTAAGAAAGTCCTACATCATTTGCTTGCAGAAGGCCTGGAATTGTGAAATATGATAATTGGAACCAGTTAAAAAATAATTAATTAGAATAAGCGACTGATGACAGGATTTGTGATAAATTCTCTCTACAATGCACCTTTATCATTGCCAATAAGAACCTCACATGCCACATCCACATTTATAGGGCAACCACATAATGGCTCCATACAGTTTATTCTCTTGCATATCCCAAACTGTAGGACACGTCAATATGAGTAAGTGTGCATACACATTACATATCTAATGTTAAAGGAATATGCAGTCAACCATTGACAGTAGCAGTTAAATTTCCTTTTCTTGAGATTGTTTATTTTACTTTGATTTATTAGAATCACAAGATACTACATTATCAAGTTGTTTCAGTGAGATTGAAGCTGCTTGGTGTTCATTACATTATATTTATTATTATATGTAATGTATTATTCATATAATGCTTTCTCCACAGTACATTTGTAATTCAGTCTACATCCTAACCCTAGAAAGAGTGTTTTTAAAAAGCTATAATCTTCTTTTGTGTTTCACCATATCTGTACATGTAGGTGTTTGTCAGCTATGCTACAGATCTCTTCAAAAAGACTAGATGCCACTGGCAGCTTACAAAACCTTGTTGAACATCTTTAGTGACATGGATTTACAGTCTGTTAGATCACAGGGTGGGCATAACAGTGGCACTACTGCCTCTCATCTCTTCGGTCCAAAGTTCGATTCCAGACTGCAATGCCTTCTGTGCATATTCTCCCTTTGCTTGTGCAGGGTTTTTGCCAGGTTTTTTGCATTCCTACCACCTTCCAAAGAAGTGTCTGCAAAGAATGCAGTCCAGGATGTAGATAAGAAGTCTTTCAAAATTACTGAGACACATTTGCAGGTGCATTGGGAAAGATAATCCACTCATTAGCAAATCTAACAGGGAGCGGTAAAGAAATTATAGACTATTTTCATTTTGGTTAATGTACTGGCAGACTGATTTGCAAACACTACAATTTCCTTTCTGTGTGGTAACATACTTGTGAAAAATACTAGGAGAAAGGAAATGATCAGCGCTTCCTGCTGATTAATGGCACTGATAACATTTTTATCTTTGAAGTTGTCCGAAATTAAAAACAAAATCAAATTTTGCTTTGTATTCTCATGTTAAGCTATTTAAAACAATTCTGTCCAAATAATATTGTATACCTGCATGCATTGAGACCCTTGCTGTGTTTCTCATATAATTAAATGTGAATGAATATCTTTTAAGTATTAACTATTAGCTGTGTTCATCTTACCATGGCACAGAATCTCACAATAAATGGCATGCGTTGTTTTTAATTATTTCAAAGACTTTACTTACTGTGTTTTACTAGTGTAACTCAAGAAATAATAGCACATTCAAATGGAAGAAAGCTACAGTAATTTTGTTAAGGTAACAAAATAATAAATTTGTTAATCTTCAATAAACAACATATTTTACCGTACCTTCCCGTACATGAAATGAAATCAATTGGCTTAGTTGAATGTATTTTATTTTGTATTTCCTTGAGTCTTCTCATTATGTTTGTTGTATCAGTCATAATTCTTATTGATAAGAAGAATTGAGATAAGAAGACTGATAATTCTTATGACTGATTCAGAAAAACTGTTGTCTTTTTAGTTTGCTTTGTTTGTTTAAGAAACAATGTCTTTTCACAAAAGTGTTTGTGGTTGTATTTAGAAACAGTGACATTTCCAATGGAAGTCACACAATGAACACCACCCTAAGGCTCTGCGTCATTTCTTTCTTTTACTTTGATTTGAGCTTTGTGCAGGTTATAGTTAGTATATGTCCTTCACTGTTCTAAAACAAGGTGTTTGTGTAAGCATTATGTAAAGCTTACGTCACAAACGTTCCCATGTATGCTATTCAAAGCAGCAATTATTCATGAAGGTATTAAGAGGGATACCATTTTTCTCAAATTAATTCTAGAACTGCACGACAAAATGCTTAAAATTCTTTCTCAAAACTACAGTGCCTTGCGAAAGTATTCGGCCCCCTTGAACTTTTCAACCTTTTGCCACATTTCAGGCTTCAAACATAAAGATATAAATTTTTTATTTTATGTGAAGAATCACCAACAAGTGGGACACAATTGTGAAGTGGAACGAAATCTATTGGATTTTTGAAACTTTAACTAATAAAAAAATGAAAAGTGGGGCGTGCAAAATTATTCGGCCCCCTTGCGTTAATACTTTGTAGAGCCACGTTTTGCTGCGATTACAGCTGCAAGTCGCTTGGGGTATGTCTCTATCAGTTTTGCACATCGAGAGACTGAAATTCTTGCCCATTCTTCCTTGCAAAACAGCTCGAGCTCAGTGAGGTTGGATGGAGAGCGTTTGTGAACAGCAGTTTTCAGCTCTTTCCACAGATTCTCGATTGGATTCAGGTCTGGACTTTGACTTGGCCATTGAAACACCTGGATACGTTTATTTGTGAACCATTCCTTTGTAGATTTTGCTGTATGTTTGGGATCATTGTCTTGTTGGAAGATAAATCTCCGTCCCAGTTTCAGGTCTTTTGCAGACTCCAACAGGTTTTCATCCAGAATGGTCCTGTATTTGGCTGCATCCATCTTCCCCTCAATTTTAACCATCTTCCCTGTCCCTGCTGAAGAAAAGCAGGCCCAAACCATGATGCTGCCACCACCATGTTTGACAGTGGGGATGGTGTGTTGAGGGTGATGAGCTGTGTTGCTTTTACGCCAAACATATCGTTTTGCATTGTGGCCAAAAAGTTCGATTTTGGTTTCATCTGACCAGAGCACCTTCTTCCACATGTTTGGGGTGTCTCCCAGGTGGCTTGTGGCAAACTTTAGACGAGACTTTTTATGGATATCTTTGAGAAATGGCTTTCTTCTTGCCACTCTTCCATAAAGGCCAGATTTGTGCAGTGTAAGACTGATTGTTGTCCTATGGACAGACTCTCCCACCTCAGCTGTAGTTCTCTGCAGTTCATCCAGAGTGATCGTGGGCCTCTTGGCTGCATCTCTGATCAGTCTTCTCCTTGTCTGAGCTGAAAGTTTAGAGGGACGGCCAGGTCTTGGTAGATTTGCAGTGGTCTGATACTCCTTCCATTTCAAGATGATCGCTTGCACAGTGCTCCTTGGGATGTTTGAAGCTTGGGAAATCTTTTTGTATCCAAATCCGGCTTTAAACTTCTCCACAACAGTATTACGGACCTGCCTGGTGTGTTCCTTGGTCTTCATGATGCTCTCTGCGCTTTCAACAGAACCTTGAGACTATCACAGAGCAGGTGCATTTATACAGAGACTTGATTACACACAGGTGGATTCTATTTATCACCATCAGTCATTTAGGACAACATTGGATCATTCAGAGATCCTCGCTGAACTTCTGGAGTGAGTTTGCTGCACTGAAAGTAAAGGGGCCGAATAATTTTGCACGCCCCACTTTTCATTTTTTTATTAGTTAAAAAAGTTTCAAAAATCCAATAGATTTCGTTCCACTTCACAATTGTGTCCCACTTGTTGGTGATTCTTCACATAAAATAAAAAATTTATATCTTTATGTTTGAAGCCTGAAATGTGGCAAAAGGTTGAAAAGTTCAAGGGGGCCGAATACTTTCGCAAGGCACTGTAGGTGTATATCCTTGTGATCTGATGTATTTCATCATGAAGGAAAGTCCTTTTTGAAAACATTTCTTCCTGGTGTCCAAAATACAGGCAGAGCTAGATGACAAAGGATATTCATGCTATGACTATTTCCTGTTATAGTGGCTTTATGTTATAGTGTCTCCTGATCCAGTGCTTGTTTTGCTGACATGTCACACTTATATCAACTATGATACTGTATATCCATCTAGACAGTTATATAATGTTGGCCTTAAAGAAAAAAGGCTGCACTTAATGTTTGAGGACAGAACCCCAGAAGCGTCTTAATATACATATGTACTGTAATTATGAAAGGCTTTTCTCCCTCATTGTCCAAAGGTAACAGATAGCATTAGCTGGCAAAATACAGTTTACACAGTGCATGTGTATGAATGGTGAATGGATTACTGTCTTTTAATGAAAATCTGTATTTCTCTGAGCTCCATGAATGCAGATCCTGGTTACTCATTAAAGGCTAGAGCATAAATTAATTTTCGCTGTGAGCATGACTGTTGTAAAACACCTGCATTCAAAATGAAAGAAACCATATTTAAGCAAAAGTCCACAACTGATACCGTGGAGAAAAATAACTGTGACATGCAAAACTGAAAATTCTAATCTAGATAAAAATATATGAAATCCTTTATATTAAACTAAATCATAAAGCATATTGTGGTAACACCTAGAAAATAATATATACATACAACAATGTACATGCCTGTACATGTAAATCAATCTTAGAAATGTTAATAATTAGTTGGTTAAATGAATGTCTTCATATTTTAATTAATGTATTCTGGAAGGGTCTTCCTTAATGAAACATGCTGATGCATATTTTGAGCAGTTTGAATAAGAGACTATGATTTTGTTGCTTGCAGGTATGGACTTGCAGTCAGCTACAAGCACGTATGCCCACTCAGCAACTGGTATGTTGCTTTTTTCATGATTTGCCAGTTGTTGCCCTACAACAGTTTCATAGATTGATGAACAACAGCTGAATTAATCATTTTGTATAGTTGTTATGGCTGCTGTCAAACACCACTTTATTATGCTAGTGAAATAGTGAAATTGTATTTAAGAAATTGTATGTAGTACAGAATAGCTGAGCTGATTACATTTATTAGTAGAAATCTAGGTTGTACTATATTAGGAAAATTCCTCAGATTGAGTCTGTTTTCTTTCTTACAATTTATCTCATTTAATTTCAGGAAATACACAGATGTCTGTCACCCAAATGCATCAGAACAGTGCTGCACTGATGGAAATATGCCAATGATTAGGTATGAACACCTTCCTGCTGACCCCTTTGATCACTTTAATTTATTATATTAATGCACTGAAGTGTACATGCATATGGTTTGTAAATGTTTGGAGCAGTGGGGAACTGTGTCAGCATGTGTTGGCTGCAAAGGAACAAGTAAACAATAATTCCACACTGACAAATAGAAACGAGAAACTCAACGTTTTGGTGGTAGAGCCTTCTTCATGTGTCTGTGCTTCTATGTCTATATTCCTGAGTTTTTTTAAAGACCAATCTCAAGAGAGAACGGATATTAAAATGACCAAATTTAAGACCATTATGTGAAAACACAGTATTCACTTTTGCATTGTTTTAATATAATGGACTACTTCATCAGAGCCTCCTGAATATCATTGATAATTGCTCTGAGCCTCTCAGACCATGTCTTTGTTACCTGTTCCGCTTTTTGGGCCATAAATCCAGCATCAGCTGGAAAGGTCTCCAAGTCTGTTTGTACCTGCTGGTGTCTTTAATTGACACGTGTCAAGCAAATACCCATGCAATCTTTTCTGCTGTTTTTTTTATGAGGTATAAAGCCATTATCATACTCCTCTTAACTGCCAGCAGTTCCCTACCACTTTTTAGATGGTGTTCATTCTGCAGGGACATTTCTCAAGTTGAAAAAGGTTGACAGATAACATAGCCCAAAATGACTTAAAAGAAGAAAATACTACTACAGAAAATTGCATATATTCATTGAAAAATATGAATTGTTAACCAGATGTACCCAGCTTTTTTAAAAACCTGGATGTTTTTCGTGTCTCCACTCACGGCGATGAACCCTGCAACCGGACATGGGGAGAATGAGGAGGCACGGACAGGCCACACACCCTTGACCTAATGTGACAGAATATGTGGTGTCATACAGGAGATTCAGTGCTAGCTGGAATGAGAGGCACATTTCTCGCCAACAGTACCCCAAGCCTGCAACTGCCAGGAAAGTTGCAGGGGTTACAATTTCGCTGGAGAATTGGTAGGGCAAAGGAAACTGTCCTCTCAGTGACACCCAGTCCATAGCGCCCCACTGTTGGGGAGCAATAAGAATAAGAATAAGAATAAGAATAAGAATAAATAATAATAAAAATAATAACAATAATAATAATAATAATAATAATTGCTTACACTTATATAGTGCTTTTCTGGACACTCCACTCAAAGCGCTTTACAGGTAATGGGGATCCCCTCCACCACCACCAATGTGCAGCATCACCTGGATGATGTACTTGTCATAGCCTGTTAGTGATATGACACATGTTCTAGCTGAGGCATTCAGGAGCCCTAATACGTCTGTTTATACCAGAAATACCTCCCCATGGTTACTATGTGCAAGACAAAAATGTATCATGTTCCCAATGTTCAGAATCTTTAGGAATTTTGAGTTAAATGGATGGGCTATCTTGTGGACGGCCTCTCTCCTGACTCGCTTGAGGATAATGAACCACAACTTCCCCATATGTAAGAACATAAGAAAGGCTGGAAATAAACGAAGGGCATTTGGCTCACCTTATTCATTTGGATGCTAATAGCTACAGTATGTGATCTGAGAAAGGCCCAGGTATTAATTTCTCACCCACAGTCATCTGGGAAAAACGTAACCTCTCACATATATCCCTCCTGTTGAAGGAGTGATGGGCCAATTACTAAACATGGTGAGTATCATTCCAAAGGCAATACAGAGGATGGTGAAATGGGGTGCTTGCATAACAGACTGGACGCTATCTCCCCCCCCCCCCCACAATTAAAATGGACCCAATCTTGGGAAGTGCTACACCAACTGGTACAGAATCCCAATGAGGTGGGAGTTCCCAATATTTTGTCAGCAAGTGTAAGTTTATGCCATCTACATACATCATTTTGATTTTTGTTATTTATCTTCTGAAACGAAATAAATCTTAGAAAGTGCTTTTATAGCTTTATGGCTATTAACCTAGCAATCCTTTTCTTTGCAGCTCATGTGGGAAAAACCCACCAGAAAATTCCTTGTTCACTGCTACTTTCAACGCAGCAGCTGTTTTGTGTAAGTGTCATAAAATGTGAAGTATTGAAAATATTACCTTGAGAAATGTGTTTTAATGGGAAGGCATTGGTACTTTTGGAAAGATTAAGGAAACAAAGTAGAGCTGATAGAAATGAGAGTGTCCTTTTTGTCAATTTCAGCATTGTACAGAGGCAGTGAATTGTGCGTAGCAAACTCAAGTGTTGAGGAATGTATCTTTTTTCTCTTTCAGTTCTCATATTCTGCATCTGCCAACATGCTCATATTTTGGATAAGAACAGTAACTATGCCTTACTCAGCAAAGCAAACCTGGCCATTGGATGTTTGGCTGCATTTGGAGCTTTTGTCACCGGAAATTGCAATGTAAGAAACCGATCAATTATTTGACTTACAGTTGTTATCATCAGCCTGGGGTCTAGAATGTATTTGCACTCAACCATGGTTATACTGGCAGATTTGCAGTGCCTTTTTTGTTACTTCTGCACACATGCACAATGTGTCCTAACACATCACATCAAGAAATCATACTGTATTCACATCAGCAGCCTACAAATGGGTTACTTTCTAAACTGATCCAGGGTTAATGGAAACATAAATGAGCACCTATATTTCTGAGTTATAAACCAATACTGTATATATAGAACTAATGCATGTATTCATGTACAATAATCCCAGATCACTTTATAAAGAGGAAAAAAAAAACATTTTTGTTTCAGTGGAAATATAGACATTTGACAAACATACTGTTTCCTGCTTTACAGCTAGTGCTTATACCTTTTCCTGTTGGTTGTATTTTAGCCTGTTCACGTGCGATGGCTTCACTACCTGGGAGCAGCACTGGGCTTTGTATGCCTCTGCTTTTACACTTTGATACTGACAATCCTGACAAGCAAGTGCTTCATCACTGGGCTGGAGCGCTTCCTTGCTCCCTTACGGATTATTTTAACTGTCGTTCAGGCTTTGTCGACCATCTTCTGTATCCTTTAAAGTCAGGTCACTCAGTGAAGCACCACTCAGGTAATGGGAATTCACGCCGTTTTGTCAACTGTAGTTTCAGAAGCATAAACAAATGGCAAAATCGAAACAATGTACAAAAACAAAATTAGCACTGCAGCTATAATAATGTACAAACATAAGATAAGATCACTTGATAAGCCATATACAATTTCTTGCATTACGAATTTGTCTTTTCGCATACCCCAGTTTGCTCTCCATGAGACACCAGGACAGGGAGAGAAGCTTGGGGTCAGAGCACAGGGTCAGCCATTTATACAGCGCCCCTGGAGCAGCTGGGATTAAGTTTATATGTTCCAGAATCCAACAGAATAGGATTCCTCTGCCAGCTGCGAGATTGAACCTGCAACCTTCCAGCCCCAGGCGCAGATCCTTAACCACAGTGCCACTGCTCTGCCTTCCCCAAACTCATGCCTTTCCCTCACAGACAACATAATCTTTCTTGTTTCTTCTCGACTGTCTTGGTATGTTCCAGTATTGCCTGATGAGGTGCAGAGCTGAGACCGGTCAGAAAGCCCGTTGTCAGCCATGCACCTTTGTTTCAGGGCTGTAATCAGATATAAGGTGACAAAGAGTAAAATATTTAAAATAATATTTTAAATAAAGTAATTATTTAAAATAAAATAAGGTATCACAAGCAAACAGTACATGATGGCCAAACCAGAGTAACTGGCTTAAGCTGCGTAATTAATTAGAAGTGAGAAGAAATCTTAGTCCTAAAGAGTTCAAATATCTTTTGTTATTTGTATAATTCTTGTTTTGTTTCAACTGTCTCTTCTCTCAGACACCAAAGAACAAATCTGGAACACGACTGTGTGTTTGCAAAACTGGGAACAGTCTTCTAATGTTTCCTGTCAGCTCTTTCCAAGGCTGTGTGAAACACATGCTTAGTGCGAGAACAGAGAGGCACTTGCATTTCTCCCTGACATTTGAATATTTGCCATTTGCCTGAAATTATCACTGACAGATTTAATCAAATTCAAACTGAATATGAGCTCAGTCTGGCACATAACAAATGTACCCTGATCTGTTCAGACTTGCATATAATTTAATGTCATACATTACCACTTCCTAACGAATCTAGAAAATATCTAGAATCTAGAATCTTGAACATATTTTTATTTACTTATTCATTTTTATTAAAACTGGACTTTACCCTTGCATATTTCGTTGCCGATCCTAATGAAACATTATCTGACTTGCCACAGGGATTTTGCATAGTTGACATAAATTCAGAAAACCTTATGACGGCTGCTGAGCAGCCAGCAGTCAGGTTTACAATGCATGGCGTTTACAGTGGTCTTCATGGGAGCTTATGAGAATACTAGAGTCAACCTTTGAAGTCATTTCTCCTTAACTACAGATCACCCAGATGTGGTCTTCTTTGTACAGCCTGAATACAATTATAAGCACATGTCTGCCATTTGCGAATGGACTCTCAGCACCAATATCCAGCTGTTCGAGCTGACTTACGTTGCTGAATTTTACTATTTCTCCTCCTCCATGCTGTCTGTTTTAATACACAAAAGAGATGAGGAGAAATCATTGATTTTGTCCTGATGCTCAGGTTAACTGTGATTAATAATTGGTAATAATTATTGGTGAGTGTCAATAGTACCTCACTCTCCCATTTGACACTGTTTAATTTTTGTTGTTCTTTTTTCCTCCAAATGCATCCTTGTAGTACCACAGTGTAAAGGGTTTCTGCAATGAGTACTGCTGTGTTGTTACACCACATACAGTATATATGATAAAGTTTTCTTGAATCAAATATACTGTAACTCTACCTCATTAGAAAAGCAACAGACTTAGTACAATCTATTATTCTGTTTTCTGTAGAAAAACTATCACAGTTAATAGCCTGGACATGTACTGGAAGTGTAACCAGCTTTGAAATTCATTTATATGTTGCAATATTTTTTATCTTCAAAGCAAAACACTGGGAGCTTTGGAAATTGAATTGTTCAATTGTCTTCTGGGCTTGCTGTGCCCTTATAAATAACTGTATCCTTCTGTCATTGGGTAATGTTTGAATTTACCAGGTCCTGTTCACAGTATGTCTGAAACTCAACTGTAAACTCATATAAATGGTAGAATAACAAAATGACTGAATTAAGCGATGTAATTTTTTTAATTCAAACACTGTACATCAATGCAAGTGTCCATAAACCCAAAGTTATTAAAATGTGATTTCTGCAATGATGTCATATATGGATCTGAATAAAACTGTCTGGCCTAAGGGAGTTTCTTTTGCCATAATTCAAGCATACAAAACCAAAACTATAGAGTGATCTGTAAAATCAATGTATACACGACACATATCTGCACATGTAGAGATGGGCATTTCAGGCAACCAAAGTTCATGACTAACAACACCCAAGAATTAGACGTGTTCGAGTTATTGGGAAGAGTGGCTTTTGGTTTGACTTGCTTGGCTGAACTAAACTCCAAGTGTTGTAAACCAAGAGGTAGTTGCAAAGGTTGAGATGAGGTGGAAAAGGAATTAGAGAAATGACATCAGGGATGATTATGATTAAAAGCAGTTGGACAAAAATGTCTTGGTTGTCGTCATCCCTCCTGATCTTCAGCTAAGCATTTCTATTTGCTACAGGTATTTTACAATATCTTTTTGCATTACATTTTTTCTTTTCTATTAGCTCAAGATCTACAACTCAAACTGGTTGCACACCCTTATGACAAGAAAACGCCTAAAACAAATAAGTTTGCCCTTACTGCCGTTTCCATGCACAATCAAGGGATGCTGACTAGGCAAGGGAAATGTTACAGTAGCTCGGGAAAGAGGGGCACAAAGAACTACAGTATGAACTTGAGAGTCAACCTGAAACAATGGATGTGCGCTTAGCATTGTGGAGCATCACAGATACCTTGATTCTTTTTATTCAAAATTATTGTCAACATTTTCAAAAAGAAAGGGCGTCAACACATGAACATCCGTGTTAAGGCTGAACACGTTGGGAATTATCAAATAGGTGTGTACACCACTGTTAGAGAGTGTGTTTACAAGCTTAGAAATTGTCTGCTCTTCATTGTGAACATATTCTGACCGCAGATCAACAGGCTGATTTTTTTCCCTCCAGAACAGATCTTTCATTAACAGTGCATGAAAGATCTGTTCTGGGTTTGCAGGACCACAAAAACTGTTGTTCAAAACAGGTCTACGAAGGGAACGTTAGTCATTTACTGCTTCACACACTAAGAAGCGAGTGTGAATTTAATTTATGGAACTGCCTTTTTTAAAAAAAATAGATACTGCCAAAGGCAGGCTGCAGTGCTTCTGTATAAAGACAACATAAAATGATATTTCTGATATCTGGATTAATTCAACTACGGAATGAACACATATAACATCTGATTCCCACTCAAGTGGAATTCTGATATGTTCAGTATAGCTACTACTTCCAAGACTTCTAAAGAAAATAAGAGTTTATTTTTTAGTATGACAACTTTATTGTGTGAGAATTTTAAAAAAAAAAATATATACAGTATATACAGAAACATGGAACTCGCAAAAGTTACTTCAATGTCAGGATTTTTCTGTGTACAGTATAGATATTTCAGTGCATTCTTAATCACTTTGTCTGGTCTTAACTTATCAAATGGCAGCTAGAATGATCACATATGGTGCCTTGTGCAAGTTGTCACATGATGTCAGATTTTTATGAATTATAAATAATGGACATAAATTTATATATTCAACACTAATGAACAAACTGTTGATATTGGAACTCCTTCACACATAAAAGTGTTCAAAGTACAGTAACTGAAATGTTTCCGGCTTTCTAAGTCAGTATTTGACAAGGGAAGGAAGCACCTTTGGCAGTAGTTATTCAGTAGTTGGCAGTAGTGAATCTTTTTGGATAGGTCTCTACTACCTTTTGAGGAGATGTTGAGAATTCCGGCAATTCTTACAATTACAAAATTGTAAATTAGTTGTGGAGTACAATCCTGACGTCTTTCTATACATTTTCTACTGGATTCAAATCAAGAACATTCCCACTCAAACTATCTCAGTGTTGTGTTACTTTGTCATTCAGGAGATTGTCTTACTGAAGAGTTAACTTTTGACTCAGTTAGACGTTTGGCTTGCTGGTCTGCCTGCATGATTTAACTATACTTTGCAAAATTCATGTTCAACTCTGTCCAAACTAGCTTCCCCTTATCATGATGCTGCTACCACCAAGTCTGGCAGATGGGATGTTGACTGGATTAAGTTATATGTTGGGCTTCTGGCAGATATGCTTTGCATTAACACCAAAAAGTTTTTTTGTTTGGCCTCACCTAACCACAAAACCTGCTGTATGTCTGCAGTACCCTTTTGACATTTTGTTGCAACCTCCATATAATATACAAACCTCTTTCTGCAATAGCTTCTTTCTTGCTACTTGCTCATTTCTAGGGGAATTTATTCATTATATGAATATTAGCGCAAGGTTAGGGCCTTTCTTTTAGGCCACAGAGCCACTGACTGGAACTGATCAGGTTCTACTAGGAGAAAGGGCAGCAAAATGAAAACAAATGTACAAAATAATTTTGCAAGCATCAGATCCAGTTGAACACTACAGCTCTTTTCAGAAACAAATACTGAGAGATCAGCCAGAGCCTGGAAGTTTTTACATTATGCATCAAACAATAATGAACCTGGAATTTGACCCTGAAACACCAAAAACAGGCGTTTGTTTGCTTTGTGCCTGCAAGTGCTTTGCATTGTCTACAAAGGAGGATATAAATGGGAGGAGACCAGTTTAGATAGTTTCTCACATTTTCCTGCAACAAGCCTGACAAGCTAGTAATGGGTGGATTCCAGATTTTGATTGAACTATGCGTCATTGTTAAGAAAGGACACACCTGCACACGCAATAAGTTATTAACCCCTGTAAATGGTAACTTTCTCTCCTAAATAACAGTAATATAAAGACAGTTAATCCGATTTCATCCTTCTTCACCTAAGAAAATATTTTAAGATGGAGAAATGTATTTCAAAGCGAGTAAACACCCAACATAAAAAACAGGCAAACCACAAAGAATATTCAGACTAAACTATGGGGCTTGTAAAATAGAACAAACTTTCTCCTTTGTTTGCGCAGAGCAAATTTGCCTAGCTAGTTATAACAGCTGAGGCTCTTACACACTTGATTTAACATTTACAGCCCTGCAAAAGACACATGTTAAAATTCATTAGGAGAATCTACAGCAAAAAAAAACCTCTGGTACTGTTCACAATCTTAAAGTAGATACCATTGTGAAAACAAGCTGCTACTGACACTGCATAGTCCCCAACCCTGTAAACGGGAGAGAGAGAATCGCAGCCACTCTGCTCGCAAGAGTATCATGAATGTGGTGGGGTGACCACAAGGGGACAGCTTAAAACATCCAATTAAACTAAGAAGCACCCCTTCGGGTGGCGAGAGGGAAATAGAGCACCCAGCAAAAACACCACAAAAACCAGTACCCAGGCCCAATTCTTACCCATGACTGAAGCTATGAGGCAGAACTACTAAGCACCACACTACCATGTTGCCTTAGCTTAGAGTATTACATCATTATCATTCAAAAAAGGGCATCACTTTTTTGGTGCGTCTTTACCTCCACAGGGAATGAGTAAGATCAAAGGATATTGAATAGAAGTAAATAAATATAGAAGGTAATATATGAAACTACCTTGCAATGTTTGTTTGTGAGCGATTTTGGTTTCTCAATAACTAAAGCGAATAAAGGAGCTGAAGGACCATCTAGAAAACTTACATCTGGGGGTGTGAATTAAACTATAGCGACTGTACTTTGATACACCACTTAAGTAGATTTTCCCCGATATCTGTACTCGAGTACGTTGGTTTAGTACTTTTACTCCACTATATTTCCCAGAAGCATGTTCATTCCCTTTTCCCACCTGGGATATTGATGTGTACATAGGCTGGGATTTTGATTTGGTAAAAGAGTGCTTGCTTTCGTGATATACTATTCTGAAGCCCAAATACAGACCATTTTATTTTTTTAAATCTCCATCCAGCAACACCCCCAAAGCACAGGTCTTCGAAGAGCTGAAGTGTTTGAATTAAAACCCCTAACCATGTCAGATAATAATGCTGATCTCCCAGCATCCAGAGAGTTTACAAAAATTAACACAGAGGTGTGTAAACATTACAGGATACTTAATGCAGGTCCAGATAATGTGTGTGAAAGAGTTCTGCCACCTTGTGGAGATTGTTATGCTGTCCATCAAATTACAAATCCCCCTCCCTGTAGAAATCTATTGAAATTCCAAAGACTGCCAGGCCAACAACCACTCTTGTTAACACAGAAAGTCTCAAAGAACTTCAAGTTAAACAATGTGATGAGATGGGTCCTAGACTACTTCTTAAACAGGTTTCAGGTCAGACAGATTCACTACACTTCCACTAGATCACCATGGGACTGTCTCACCCCCCCATACTATATAAAATCTACACTAAAGATAAGAGAAAACAGAAATCTCAATAAGTTTGCTGCTGACAGCTCTGATCAGGACCCAAAAAACATCATGAACCCATTCTAAAAGATTTTACCAAACGGTGTGATGTGTTAAATGTCTTGAAAACAATGGGACAAGTCACTGATTTTATGTTATAAACTCCAAGAGACCTTTTTTTGTGGGAAACATTTGTTTGAAGGTAAACAGAACTATTTTCACTTTTTTTCCAGAAGAATTTAATTGAAAGATTCTTAAAACAGTCTCACACGTTGTGTTGGCAACATCAGTACTGTCAATAAAAGGTTGGGAATATTAGTTGAAAATAGCTAAATAAAGACAAAACAGCAGAAAGAAAGGCTACTCATTAATTTCTAATACTTGAGTATTGCCAAGAGATACTTTTGTACTTTATTATTTAGTATTTTTATGTGAGAAAAACATTTACGGAGTTTACTTATTTTTGTATCAAAGTAACAGTAATGTTACTCAAGAAACATTTGAATACTTTTATACCCTAAAACATAGTAGCAGAGTCTTCAGCAACATTTGCTCTACAGCATCATAGAGCAGTGTTTCAGAAACTAGAGCAATATATACACAATACAAAATCATGTTTTGACAACGGTCATTGAATATTGATTTATGACAACCCAATTTGCAGTTATTAGACTTCAACCCCCATAAAAGCAAGAGAAAGATAAAAACCATGCAACATACTGAGAACCATCATTTTACACATAACCACATACCACTTTGACTCTAGCAATTACCATCTGAGGGGGGGGGGTGGCAGCCATCTCTGTCTTTACTGTTTACTCAACTAATTCACATGGGGGGGGATACCTGTGCAGTGGCCTAACAATCATCAGCCCACCCCCAGGCTTTGCAGCACTAACAATTAAACACTGCTACTTGGGAACTTCTGACCACCTTCCTCTAACAAGAATAAGTTCTATGACTGTTTCTCACAATACAAATTAAATGAGTGCAGCCATGGACCTTACCATTAAAACCCAAACAAAGCAAAAGTAACCTGAATACATCCATCAGTGTGGTCTATATGAGTTTAGTCAAAGATATACTATTTACTCTTGTAGTTATATGGCTATGCTTTCCTTTAACTTATTGTGAAGAATAAAAATGAGTTGCATACCTGTTATCAGTGCACTTTTGCTACAGCTTAAAAGAACAAAGATATATCCCCTTTGTGAAGAACTGCACTTGGGAATGGAAGGTGTAAACAAATGCAAATTAACTTCAAAAGTGATGAACACTCACTCATCACAGTCTCTACTGTGAATGACGTATACAGCATGGGATAGAAACTTAAAATACATTTTACAAAGAGAAGAACTAACAAAAGATGTATTTTTAAATGCAGTGTACTGAATCAAATGTTTTAGTAAAGCATTTAACTTTTACTTTAAAGAATTTAATATACACCCTGGAATTACAGAAGCAAAAATCAAAGTACAAGAAGAGCAAAATAATTCACAATGAACTTACTTTTGCATTCACCCAGAAGTAGTGTAAACAAGCAATATCAATTAGAAACAAATTGTGAAAAGCACACTTAAAAGGAGGAGTATCCAGGTATGTTCTGTATTTTATATTGTATAAAACATTTCTTCTATAAGCAGTAGTTCACATTGCCAACTTTGTCAGAAATCAAAAACAAGGACCACAATTTCATGTCGGTCCTCCAACTAAAGTTCCACAGCAATGATTATGCCATAAATAATTCTGAAGAACAAAGATCCAAAATATATAACCCTACAAGCAAGAGTACTAGTTCAGCATGGCTGAAATTTTAATTTAGTTTGGAGTTCAGTTCCAGCCTTACAGAGTCACAGCTAAGGTCTGTTAATGTCATTTTTCATACTGCAGGCATAGCCGTTAATACTTTTCATTTTCAACACTGTCTGCCAGAAAGGATTTTAAAATTTTAGAATTGCTTAATGAAGTAAAATGGCACTGGCTCAATTATTCTGGTTATAACCATTTTAGAACATTTAGCGGAGGTCATATAGAGTTTGAGAAAAGCAAAACATTACAGAGAAAGGTTATATAAGCTTTACAACCTTTTTCCTGTAACTAGATATTAGTTGTACACTAAAAATCTATAGTTTAATATACATTTTCTAGTTTTATTCACTGCCTCTGATGCAGGCCTTTTATACCCTAGAGCAAAACAACCCAATACCTTGTGATCTGTACAGGGATATTTCAATGGCTGCCAGCCAATTATTACTGAAAAATACCGCCTTTCATTTGTGAATTTATATTATTGAACATTTACAAATGTTAAAAAAATGACACTACAGTAGTTGACAACCCAAAGTATTAATATGATGCAGATGGATAATTTTATAAACCTACAGAAATTTTAATCCAAGCCTTCTTCAAACTGTATACATGTTCTTTGTCGTGGATCCACTTTTGCTAGAGGTGTCATCATGAGACTGATAGCCAAGCAGGGCTTTATTGGGAACATTCAAACGCTCTTTGTATTGTTGCCTGTAATAGAGAAAAGTACACAGCAGAAATCAATTAATTGAAACTGGACATGAAGTCCACATTGCAAGGTTAACAAATATGAAGATAAAAGTGAACTTCAGTCATTTCTTTCTGAAACTTCAAATGTCTAACTTCAAAAATAGTTTTAAAATGAGAGACAGTTACAAAATTAGTTTAAAAACGATCCACTGGAGTTTGTAAATCACTTAACCTGCCCTATATAACTGTGGAGCATGCCACTCATCCAAAAAATGTTATGTAAATCTTTTTATGTGCTCTCAGTCATAAGTGTTGCTAGAACACTTAAGAAAAGGTATATTAAAAAAAACAAATTAGGTTGTCATTTATCCAAAGCAACTTGTACTTGTACCCAGTTATACAGGTGGGCATTTTACTAGAGCAAACTGAATGAAGTGCCATAGATACAACAGCAGTGCCTAACCTTGGATTTGAACCCACATTCATCTCTTACAATGGTGCTTACAGTCAATAAGATCATAAAGCTTTTCATATTCACAAGCCTTTGAGATTCTATATTTTGTGAACAATTTGCTTCATGCTGTTTTAAAAGCACCCTTTTCGCCATTTTATATTTCAGAACCAAAATCCTAAACAAAAAAATACCCCTACTGGTAACAATCTGCCATTCGTAAATACGTGGTTCAGGTCACATAGGTGCTAACTCTTAGCAAGCTCAGTACACAGTTGCCATCTAGTGGTGAATTAGAATTGAATCAAAACGCACTGTTCTGCACTACATCTTTAGTAGTTCTTCATTAAGCAAGAAATTAACTCTAGATCTATGCGTAACAATTATAAACAAAACATTTAAATGAAGTCCCCTGTGAATATAGAACAAGTTTCTTGTAAATTAAAGCATCTTGGAAAAAAAGTGAAAATGTGGGAAATTAAACTCCATCAAAGCTTTACGATATAGATTTATTGGGTCTTAAAACTGTTGTCAAGACAGTTAATTTGATAAGGCTCTAAAATGAAGACAATTAAACGTTTTTTGGCATTTATTTAATATACTTACCCTATAGTCATGATGGCTTCCTTATTTTGGCAGTTTCCTGTCCAGATGGATATCTTGTCACCTTTAGGTCTAACGTTGACAACAGCACCACAAACATCATCACTAGCTTCATCAAACGATTCGCCGATTAAGCATAACAACTACAAAATAACAAAAAAAATCCAAAGTGAAACCTCCACAGACTATTTGTTCAAAAAACGAATCAAGACTTTGACAATAGAAGACGGGAATTTATTAAGACACTTACGGTCTCCATCCAGTAGCGGTCTAAGTCATTATGTCTCTGCTGTTTGCCAAGTGTCATCAACCACCTGCCACCAAGTTTATTTCGGTCATCTTCCCACATTGGTTTTATTCCATCCTGAATGATGAAGACGACACCCACTTGTAACAGCATTATCACATACAAGTGGCCTAAACCCTTCTGTAATCGAATGTAGGGGAATAACACTTTGCACTATTAGAACTCAATTTGCCAGCAAAAGCTTGAGAAACTCATGTCACTTTCAAGAATAACAAGAAAAGCATGCTCTTGGAATCATATATCATATATACACATCATAACATGACTAAATCACAAAAATAAACAGTTTGGCTATTTTATTCCAAATTTAAAAAAAAAACTGTGAAGATGGTCAAACATTCCTGACAGTACTGCACGTTGTAGTCTGGGCCATTTTGAACATAACAGCTGAAAGTGATGAGGCAAAGAGTTGAAGAAATTCCAAAACATCTTAAGTCTTCTAAAATGGTTAACAAAAATAAAAAAACACACATTTACCCAGTCTGTTTTTTGGAAGATTAATTTCCTCAAACCACATCAAAACTACAAATTGGGACCATAGGTGACCATGGATTTCCCAGGACAATTCATGTCTTACCTTAAATAAACAATAGTCACATCCAAATCCAAGCTTACTTGGTTGCTGTATGTGATTGTATAACCTAAAGGAGACAAAATATTTCTTAATCTCAGATTGCAAATCAAATATCAATAATGTCCAGTATTAATGTGATGTGTTACATATAGAACAGGAATTAAGAAAAAATGGTAAATGCTTAGATAAGGAAAGAGATGTTTACCTCTTTAACAATACTCAGATAAACACAACAATTGCAAACTCTTCACCCAGAACTAAAACACTTAAAAGTAAGTTTATGGTATTAAGTCTTAAACATTTTGTAAAGAAATGCTAAAAACTATAGAAATTATACAAATATATACCAGTGCTATTTGTTTGAAATTTTGTGATTTCAAACCTCATCTATACTGTAGAAAGTGTACTGCAATCATATTGATCCTAATAATGTTACTAGTTCAACAGCTACCCTGGTCTAAATAGCATGTCCACCCCTGTCTATCAAACCTGTTATTCTGTTTTGCTGTGCTACTCACTGACTGCTTTTAGAAAAGAGAGCTCTATGAAACAAACTGACAAGCACTGCAAAGCCATCACAAAGCTCCCGAGACGAGCTATAAAGTGGCACTTCACAACCAGATATGCAGAACTGCTTAAGAACACATGTGAACACCTCGCTGGTGAGCCTGGGGGCAATGGGACAATGGAAGAAGGTGAGGAAACAAAGCACTTGGCCATCAAGAAAGATTTGTAACCAAATGAGAAGGACAAAGATTCAAGGCGCTGTGAAGACTTCACAACAGGCTAGTCAATGCCCACATGAGAAGGTGGATCCTAATCCTACAGTTGTGTGGAAAGAATTTTAAAGTATTCAGTTGTACAATAACACACAATATAAAAATAGAGAAAAGGCATATGTACAAAAATCAACAAACGCTAGAATTCCCAGATGTCGAGCTGCACAAGAGCAGGCTCTAGTGTCCTTTCTGCACAGCCAGGTCTTCAGCAGTGCAAGACGGTCTGAATCAGCAGATCTCCGATTAAGAGCTGGAGTGTATCCGCACAAGAAATCCTTAAAACAATCTGGAGCTAGACTATTCAGTGCCTTATAAGAGAGCAGAACCTTCAAATCCTTTCTCAATTTCACAGCAGCCTGTGAGCACCAGTTATGTGCTGAAGCCAATCACCACACAAGCCACAGATGTCAAGACAAAGCATTATCCAAGCATCAGGTAAACAGAGCCAACTGCTTTACCTAAACAGTGTTACACAGATTAAGGAACTATACTCTTGAGATGTTCCTAACAATCTTCAAATGAAAATCCTGGGCGCAAATAACACCAGGGCTTCCAACGTCCATCAAAGATTTGATTTCAGAAAAAAAAACACTGAAGTCACACACTTTGCTGCAAGACTGAGAATCTCAGTCTTGACACAGATTAGTTTAAGACAGTTTCACCCATGTTATTATCAGACAGAATTTTATGGTAATTTACCAACATCAGCTAAGTATAGAAATCTCAGCAGTAGTATCCAATTTCGTCTGCAAGTAAATGAGCATCATCAGCACAGCAGTGACATTCAAGTCGAAGGCACCTCTTCTGACCAAGAGGCAACATGTAAACACTAAATGGAAAACAGCCCAGCACAGAACTTTAAACTGTCCCTGAGTGAGTGGAACAATATCATAATTAAGATTGAGAAAATTGCTCCAAGTACCCCGATAGCAGCCATCCCAACAATGGCACAATGCTCCTGATCTCCAGGTAATTCAACATCTGATCCAGGAGGATGGTGTATCTATCACTATAAAAAGCTGCACCTAAATCCTTAAGGATAAAAAATGGGCCGTTTCAGTACTAAGACCCGGTTAAAAAGATGTCTTTAGATACAAGATGAGATTTTGGTGTTATTTGACCTAAAAGGTGTCATCTGAAGGTTATGTTAGGAACATCTCAAGGGTATATTTCCTTTATCTGTGTAATGCTCTTTAGGTAAAACAATTGCTCTTTGTGCCATTGTTCATTTAAGAAATTTTGCAAGAACATTTAAATATAATTTGGTTAAGATTAAGGTGTGCATAGGATTTTCTGCAGCACTGAAACTAGAGCCAAATAAAAATATTATGGCACTTGTGTACTTTGGAGTGATGTGACAGGTGTGAAAGCAGAAGAGTAAGCCTACAGCTACCTAGACCAGATTTCAGGGACCTGATGAGTGTACAAATAGACAAAAGCAGAGAAGCAAGCTTTAAATGGGATCCAAGACAGGTAGTATGTTTGATTTTAGCTACCAACAAATAACTGCAGCAACAGCAGCAAAACGGTTATTTACGAAAGCGGGAAGGCTGTGGCTGGGTTCAGCAACCAGTGACTAATATGTAATTTGTGAACTTGCACGCATTAAAAAACAAAAAGGACAAAAATCAGATTTCGCAGTCTGTTTTGTGTGAACACAAAACAGAACCTGGCTGCTCAAGAACAATGTTAATGTTGTTCTAAGATGGCAGATGAACTCTCAGCCCCTTCTATCGCCACACTTTCTCTTGCCTACCAGAGGAGGAATGAGTTAAAATAAACATTACCACAGAATTATCTTCCTTACTAAAGCTTTTTCCTGTTGCTGTACAATCTAAACAATTAGGTTGTCTAGTCTTAGTTCTGTTATCCTGGCTCGATAATTAACCTACCCCCAGGTGCACAACAGGGATTCACAGTCTATGTAATTAAATCACAAAAGATGACTTTGCTGATCTTTTCATTATTTACAATTTCAATATGTAAATTTACACATCAGATGATTGGAATCATATGTCTTAACATTAAAAAAGGAAATTCGAGGTACAGGCTATTTTGCTTTTATGCTTGCCCCTTCCTCTGGTGAGACCCATAAAAGAAAACATAACCCACAGCACCTCAGTAGGCACCCTTCCAGAAAACAAAAGGAATATTTTTATAAAAATGATAAAAATGAATGTTAAGTGTTAAGGAGTGTTAAGAAATGAAGAGTCCAAAATAGGAACTTTGCAAATATGAGGGCTCTTCAGAACATAGATATTGATTTAAAGATATCTATTCAGAGTGCATTTGTATTGACTGTTTGCCAGTTATACAATATAAAGCAAAATGGTGCTTTACTCCACATTACCTAGACCACCCTTATAACTCATGTTTAAAAAACAGTTTACTTAAGCAGTGGCACAGCTAATGCGAACAGCCATCAGGCACACAAATTACTTACGCCCAGAAGTCTTCCACTGTGTCAAACTTGGCAATGAGTCGCAAATTTTCTGTCCAACTTTTGCTTTTGTCATTTTTGAAATACCAAAGGGCCCATCTGTAAAAGAATGAAAAAACATATCCTTACATGTAAAGCTCTTCCCCCCTCCCACAAACAAAACCCAAACAATTACAATCACATGTTCTGCAAATTCTTATTTCCAGGTCCTATTCAGATCCGGCGTCGTGGTTTCCTGAGCGAACACAAGTATTGGGCAAACTGCACTTGCTAGGTCACGGCCCCCAAGCGTGATGCTGAATGAACAAGGAGATGGACTCTGATCACACAAAGCAATATAAGAAAGACTTAAGCAAAATAGCTGTGACTCAGATTAGGCATCATGGCTTAACCGTTTTGGAAAAACCCACGACAATTGCCAGAAACGGCATTTCACTGCGTTTTGGTCATCTTGAGGACATGGGCTTTATGTCTGGGAAGACCACAGAATCTTACTGCTCCATGCTTTTTCCACATTTAAGTCTTTATGAATCAATGAGAAAACTGACAGCACTTTGGACACTAAGGCAGAGCTAAAGGAGAATTCAGGAACTGAAAAGGGAATTTCTTCAATACTTTGAGGTTCAAAAGGCATCCTGGAAATATCTCGGTATTAATAAACAAATTGACACAGATTGTCAAAAGAGACTCCTGTCATTGGCAACCCTTCCAACGTTAAGGCTATTTTGTTTCACCCTGCCTAAAAGAACACATTGCTGTGCTTCTTTAGTACATTCAGGGCATCTGCTGTATGTGGGAATGGATAAACTATTACTCGATTCAAATCATACTGGCCGAAAGATGTAAAACCAGACCATCATGCAAAACTCTCAAACAAAAATCAGCCAGACTAAAAAGAAAAAAGGTCTTTATTCTGCACTTTCTAGAATGTAGACATTCTACACATTGTGCTGAGCTCTGTAGAAAGTAATAGAAATGCTGTCAGCCTTGTCACAATAGCACCATTGTCTACAAGCTCTATTCTTTAATATGGCGGAAGACATTCTATTAAACCTATGCACTCAATTTAGTTTTACCATGTACACTGACATTAAAATTCAGTTAATACCTATTTCTGTTATTCCCAGATAAATGTGTTTAAAGGCTCTACATGGTATGCAATTTCTTACTTATCTCTATTTTTGTATTATAACTTTGCTCAGCACAAACAGTATGTAAACAGCCCTGTATGATGTTGTGGTAGGTTTTAAATCTAGACATGTTCTAGTGTACGTTGACAAGAGTACAATTTCTTTGGGTTGTCATTCAGCTCTCACATACAAGTCAAATGGCAAGACAGCTCTGAGAGGTAACTACTCCCACTGGAAACACCAGCTTCTGATCAACACTTGTATCTTACATTATCTGCAACTGATCTGTACAATCCTTACCGACCATCCGCATTTTAAATAACATGCTAAATTTAAATATTGCTGATAATTTAAAATATTACGTAACCTCCCCAACTAAAAACATGGACATTTCAGACGTAGTGAGCACTATCAAGTACTCTGTACATTAAGTTTAAATCACCAGAGAGACGAAAGTTCTCTCTGTTTACCACTAAACTAGAAACTCTGCATCCAGGGTTTACAAAAAAGTGTAAATTCAGCCAAATTACACAAATTTACACAAGCCAAATTCAAAGTGATGACAATCTATGATACCCCATCATGCAAGCAGTGTAACATCACATTCCAAGTGCACAAGAAAATGAATGGGAGAATCGGGAGCAAGCTGCCCAGCCATGTTGCAGACGCCCAGGGCTCAGGTTAAAGAAAGGGCTGGATGAGAGCCCAGGATCAGTTAGCTACCCACTCACTACCACCCTAAATAAGCAGAGAGTAGACCTCTCTTGTTTGTTATTCTTATAATCACAAAACAAGGTCCATTTCATTGTTTGCCAAACTGCACAGGCCTTTGTATCAAACGGGACTTGTGTTCTGGATGGTGACTTTAATTGATGACCTTGCAATAAACCTTCAGTCATTTTTATGCTACATTCAACCATGCAAGATCTTTTGTGTGACATCAAACAAGCTATACAGCATAAAAAGAGAACCAAAATGCAAATTTGAGCTCAGCTTCCATCAGCATTTTTAAAATAGCTTTAACAAGAAAACACCCAAGAAGGGTGAAATTTTAACATTCACAATACACTGGAATTTCCACCAGATCACAGTGAATATTATCTCAAACTCACGCTGATCTTATCGGTTTTAAGCATATCTGAAGTAGCCAGAAAAAAAGCTACCTGTTTTGCAAAGGATGTTTAATGTACTGATCTGGACTTGTAACTGCAGAAGAGGTTTCAGTAGAAGTCTCTTCAGCTTCAGGTCCACGCTGCTTAAAGAGAACAGGAAACAAAAGTTAGCACATTTTGAAATAAATCGAAAACAGCCAGAAAAACTACGTCACTGTAGATGATACAGTCGATAATCTCCCAAAAAATTAGGCCTGTTCCTCCCATTGAAAAATAATATACATAAATGACTCAGCCGAAATCAACGTCCAGATAAAGAGCTCAATGTCAATGCAGGATTATCTAAAAAAATTTGTAAAGCAAGAATATACAAAACTTAAATTCCGTTGACGACGTGATTCAGTATTTGACTTTAAATGAAAAGGTTCTTCTAGAATAGTGTCACTAGATTTCACTTTAAAACAAAAAAGCTCCTATCAGAATTACGCTGCGCATTATCTAGAACACCAAAAAAAATCACCTTGACACACTCCAGTTCAAATCCAAAGAAGTATGCTTTAATTGATTTGTGCTATGCGGTCGTTTTACTGTACGTAGTATCCAACATATTGAAAAGCAAGCTTGTGATGTGGCATCTAAGACCGGTATCTACACAGCCTTCCAGACTTTCAAGTACAAGTAAAAAAAAAACCCAGTCGTCCACGACAGAATTGGGCTGTATCATGAAACCACTAAGATAAAACGGAAATAATTTCGTTTCTGGATGCCTGATCTTTGCAATTCATTCAACACACGTGTCTTGGTTTCTACTCAAATCGGCCAGAAAAAGAAAAGCTCCGCCGGAAAGATCTGTACGAATTTAAAAAAAGGTATTTCACCCTAAAATTCGTTCTATTTCCAAATCCATCACTGAAAAATAATTGCTAGGAACCGAACCGACAAATATTGTCTAGACTCTGAAACTAAACGAGTTCCTTACTAACCCTCTCATTTCACCCTAGCATTCTGGGTACTGAACATGCTGCAAACCAGGGTGCATCGCCAACGCCACTCCCGCTCCATCAAAACTCTTTTAACAGAACCCCAAATATTTATAACACACTATACCGAACCTCTAGATGTTTAATACCACATATTTCCATTCGTTTACAACATCAGAGTCCCGAATCTCCATCCCAGCTTACCGGCTCCGAGGTCGCCATCTTGCCTTGCAAAAAACGCTACTGTCCACTCGGCCTGGCGCGTCACGCTACCACTAGGGATTCCTACGGCAGGCAGCTGAGGTCAAACTTGTAGTACGTAGACGAGAAGTAGCGTTATCGCGAGAGCCAAATGCCCTTTGACTCATTCATTGCATGGCCAGTGGTCAGCATTTCGGTCAAGGTTGTATAAAGGTTACGATAAGATGTATGTATTCATTTAACATTGTCCTATAGACTAGTGGATTTTTTAGATTCACACCTTTATTATTTTACTTATTTTGCATCTTGTGTGGTATTCAGATATTATTATTTCAAGTTATTGTTTTGCAATATTGACGAATTAAGAAAACGAGAAATATGATCGAGAAAATCTAGTCTTATAAAAATGCAAATCATAATAGGAAGAGAAACTCACTGAACAACAGATTATGTTCACATATCACGCAATGGACAACAAATTAAACAAACTGGAAATGCTGGTCGGCAAATCTCTCTATATTGGGTGGTTTAAAATACGACTGATTTTCTGAAAGAGTTTCTAAAGCAGTGGGTTTCACAAGCTAGCAAGTCTTGAACTGCACGGTTTCCTGACACAAGGTCCAAAAGCATCTGATGAGGTCACAATCTAAACACTATTTTAAGTTAATTGAGAAAGTCGACTCAGACTTTTAAACATTCATTTGGCCTTCCGGAATGCTCAAGAGAACGTAGGCATTCATCAGATCAACCACAAACAGACCAGATGAACTGTAACTGAGGGCTTGCGAATTTCCGACAAACTGGCCCTCACTTCCTCCTTTGGCAACGTTCAACTCTTTATTCCCAACAGAGATGGAAGGCAAATATGTAGTATTAACATCACCTTTTTGTATTATTTGTAAGCATACAGCTTCAAACGAAAAAACAAAAAGTGCCCTTAGACTACAGTATTAGTAGTAGTCAGTGCTCCTGGCCACAGTGGAAGTCATTTGTCTGTAGGCTGGAGGTTAATAATGTACATTATCGTGCTGAAATATCTGCAGTGGGGGATCCAACTGTCCAGTGCCAGTTCATGTACACTCATTGCTAAGAGTTTTAGTCTGATTGGTGTTTTTGACAAAATAATAATTTCCTGTTCACACAGAAGCTTAGAAAGAGAACATCTTTGGGATGCAAATGTACTGTATCTTATGGTTTAAAAAACAACTTCTAGGTTTTGAGATAGGACTTCTCAGAATCTCAAAATGTCAAAGAAGGTTTCATCATTGGTACTACAGAAGTTACATAACACAAACAATAAGGCCCATTTCTTTGAGGGGCATAAATAATTTATGCACAAGTCATATGTCTAAATGAATCACTATTAATGGATGATAAGCCTAGTATTTTGGTCATTCCTATGTGAGTTATTGTCAACAAAGCCTTAGATATTAGTGGTTAATTGATAACTGACAATTAACATAGTGACTAGTTTTGTAATAAGCAGTAGCATCAAAGAAGTGTGCGAATCATAAGTACATTAACTAAACATGCTTTCCAGCTGTATGTGTACACAAATTCACTAAACACAGATCAAATGCAAAATATAAATATATCTTTATTTTAAAATTGCCCATAAGGCAGAATTTTAGGAATGGTAAAATTATTTAGGATTTTGTTTTCAAGTCTGTAAAACTGATATTTAACTAATGTTTATGTACAGTATTTTATTTCAACAAGTCCCGAAGGGTGACTACACCATATAACAAAGTAAAACTCAAGAATATACAACAGTCATTTTCACATGGAAAAAAGCTAACATTGTGACTAATCCCTACTTATTACAATCCATGTTCCTACAAGAACCTTAAACATTAACAAAGCTGGTGTTCATTCCCGTTGTTTTAGGACAGGTTTCAAGTTACACACAGGTACAACTCAGATGTCTTCAAGTAAAGCTAGCAAAAACACACATCCGCAAAATAAAAACAAATTCTGTATTAAAAACAAATTACAAAGAATAAAAGCAAGAAGAAAAGAAGATCCAGATTACATTAGGCCTAACTTTTGGGGCAACACAAAATGCATTACGGTGAATGTAAGCCTCTTAAAAATGTATATACATTCCCTCACATGTAGAGGGCTATTTAGTTATAAATGCTTTTTCAGTTTGATGTATAGAACAGTATAGAAGATGGGTCTATCTACAACTTATTTGACTGGGGATCTGTGTCAGCATGCATTGGCTGCAAAGGAACAAGTAAAGGTTAATTCCCAGCATAAAAACAGAAAAGAGACACATGACGTTTCAGCTATTTTGAGCCTTGGAACTCAGCTCAACTTTAATAATAATAATAATAATAATAATTGCTTACACTTATATAGCACTTTTCTGGACACTCCACTCAAAGCGCTTTACAGGCAATGGGGACTCCCCTCCACCACCACCAATGTGCAGCATCCACCTGGATGATGGGGTGATCTTTACATGCACCAGGCACACCTGAAGTCTCAACAACTGAAGCCTTGCACTGCATGGAATCAGCCTTTACTAGTTCCTATGCAATACCTGCTGTGCTGTTATTTGATTAATAATCCATCTTTCTTAAACTGTAAAAGCCAAAGTAAAATATAAATAAAAAGTTCTGTCACAACTTTCTCCGGCACAGGATTACAGTGTAAACCAAAGGAAACACATGTGTTTTCTAATTTGGACATTGAATTGCGATCGTCTCCTCCCTGTTGGTTCTTTTTCTAACCGTGTCTGTATGATACAGATAACAGACTGAAGGCTACTGTCTTCTTATCCTTCTTCTAATCATACGTCAACATCAGTGTCCATGGACATGGAAATAAAACATACTCATATAAAAGATACAACATATTCCCCAGGAACCAACATATAAGGCAAACATATTCAACTGAAAACTCAATTCAGTTCTACATTGAACTTCCAGAACCCAAGTCAATTAAAAGCATGTTCTGTTATGAAAATTATATGAAATGGATAAATCTTAAAATGTAATTTGAAACTTTTTTCTTTAAACAATTATGCCACCCATGTTTTTGTAGACAAATTATTCATTTTAACTTATTTGGGTACCATCATGTACATTTCCAAAAGAAACAAAAGCTTATTTTACGCATTTCATTATTTTAAAGTTGAAATGTACAATAAAAAAAAAAACAGATTAGCCCTATTCCCTGAAAGATATTGAGAAAGCTAACTATCAACACACACTTACTGTATAAGTATCCCTGATTCTTTAGCAGAAAGGCAGTCAAAAAAGCTCAACACTTTTAATGAATGCACTCCTCAATTACACTTTGCACTGACAGAGGCATCCTAGCTTACACACAGTAAATAATGGTTTGGGTTCTTTTATCTTCAGTATCTACTGACGTATCCCATAGAACATTTTGTCTACAGTCACAGGCACCCAGGCCTTTCATTAACTGATTTGCCGATGGGTTTCTATGAGGCACTCCTTCATGTGTAATCACAAAATAAGCCAGTATAGTAAACAATCATTGTCAATATTGACAATATTGAGAATCATAATTTGTTACAAGACTTTGTCATATTGTTCTATTCTGCATTTTAGGCATTGGTTTTGAGTATATATCTTTTATTTACATAGCTAACCATATCTGTTCTGATCAAAACCTTTTCCATTAAAGCCTGTGTTTGTAGCTTTCTCTCTTGTATTTGTTAAATCCCTTGTACATCTATGAAACCTTTACATCTCTTATTAACATTTGAGCTCTTGTCTCACATTTCACAAAGCCAGGCCAATAAAGTTTCAGATGAAGTCATAAAAATAAAAAAAATGTTACGGACCAGTGTGCTGGAATTACAGTACTGTGCAAGTTGTTCATTCTGAAAATGATTTATGTTATGATTCTGGTTAATTACTCTATTAGAATGATTATTCCCATTGATTGGCGATGTTTTATAAAGGTAATGCCCAGTGACCTGACTGTGCTAAACCTACAAATAATATTTATTTATGCTCCTAAGAATATTCTTGGGAACAGAGTCAAGGTGAAAGCTTATATTTTTCATTGACTAATCCTAATCACAAATGCACATTAAAAATGTAAAATGGTTTATTTCAAAATATGTAGAATAGTATGCTAAGAGTTATTAACAAATCCAACAAATGAGCATTGGAACCAATAGCATTTGTTGTGTTCGTAATCTCTCTTATTCCTGTTTTAGTTATTTGTTTTATTTGGTCACGAAAGATGTGTTCCTTCCCATCTTTTTCTCAAGTGAAAAAAAGTGTTAATAGTTCATAAATCTCCCCTGATGGCAAAAGGCTAGAGGCGTGTGCCACTATCGTTGTTCAGCAGAAGAAGCTCTAGAAAATATAAACAGGCTTCTGAAACAATGAAAGGAAAGATATTATTTATAAATATTTAAAGGTTTTGCCTTTTCACTTCAGGAAATATACTTCCATGCAGAATTGATATTTTTGAGTTTGGCAATTAAATACTGAAACTTTACAATATATGATGAACCCATCAGTTATCCTGTATGTAGACCCACTTTGAAATAACTCATTTTAATGAAGTACACTGAAGATAGAGCTCAAAGATTACAGTTTAGGTGAAGAACTCTGTACCCCACTTATTTTTGTTGTTCTGTGATTTCACACCACAAGTTGCTGCTGTTATTTTCAATTTTTGGCAGCATTACTTACAAACAATGGCACAGCACTGGAATTTGACATTTCTTAGCCATTGCTTGTAACATAATATAGCTGCCTCAAATTGTGCTCTCAATCAATACATATGAGTACAGTTTACAGATCAAAAGCTCTAAGGGCATACAATATTAAATATATTGTGGTGAGTGTGCAAAACATTTTTTGCAAAAAAAGTAAAGGCTTTTAAAATCTCTGTTAACAAGACATCACAAAAGTTCAGTTTTAATTACAAAGACAGACTGAACATTTTATGTCTGACACATACTTCAATACAAATTTTGTGGTCATTTCAATTTTAAAGAGCATTCAAAAAGTGGCAGAGAATTTTAGCACACACAAAAATAACTCATCTTATATTTTCATGTACAGTATTAATACAAATAGCTCACTACAGTGACATTAGCAATCTAATACACATGATTATTATGTGCTGTTTACAGGGTCTTCAGGAAAGGACTTTCTATTTTATTTTCCATGCAAGTTTTATTAGCAACAGGTCCTTTCTTACTATTAGATTTGTTTTATTTACATGAAAATAATTTCAATTTGTGCACCATCCACCTTTAAGAACCACAATCTAATGCAGTTTTGAAATTGTTATTGAAAGCTCTCAACTGTCAGAGGACAAGGTATGACCAATAAAAAAAAAAACACTGTTTTCTCTTCCACTGTTTACCAACTCCACACTTCCTCCAACAGCTCTGTGAATATGACACACAAAAAATGACCAGTCATCTCATGAAGACCCTAATAATGCAAAGTTATTGGTATAATTGTGTTTTTCATGTTTCAGGTTAGCTTTTATTAATAGTAACTGTCACCCTTTGTTTTTAAGCAGATTCTAAGATATATTCTGACAAAGGAGATGTACTGATCCAATTCTACGGGCCATATTACAGAATCAGCACATAATGAATGGTGGTTAGCCACATCTTTTGTGGACAATAAGTATATGACCTACATGACTTGTCTTCAAACAAAAGCTATGTAAATAATCAGGATGTTTAGCGGAGTGCATCTGCTTTTCACTTGGGTAAAAGGATTTTATTCGATGTCCAATTTTATAGTTTTTACTACATTCAAAAGGCTTAAGGTTGATATTTCATCAAATGATTATACATTCAAATTTTTTAGTTAAGGGCTTGATGATGGTAATATGGTGGTTGCATATAAGTGGTCATATGCATATATATATGTGGTCAAACCCCCAAAAGTTTGTTTAAAATCATATCTGGGTGGCTCCTCAAAACAGAAACCAAGACACTAGTGATATTCTCAAACTGGTGCGACTCCCTGTGTCAACTGCAGGTGTCAGTAAGGGCTGAGCTGCCAAGATACTGCCATGCTTTTCTTTCACTTCTAACAAATCATGCATTTTCATTTACATGATCTGTGACACAGTGAATCTAAATATCAGCTAATATACTTTTTAAATGTGGCATTGTTCTATAGCGCTTACATAGGGGTCCCTACGGGATGTTGTATAACAAGTACTTTTGCAGGTACTGCCACACAGCTTTCTAATTAAGACTTTAATTAAGGTCATTTAGATGACAAAAGGCAAATGCAGTAGACCTCAGATACTCTTGGATAACTGTGGAACTGTTATCACGTAAAGAAGCAACTGACAACATGCAAATTAAAACATTTCTGAAGAGAACTGTAAGAGCCTGTCACACCAGATTGGCTGGGATGCCAGTTCTTCAATGATGGAACATTAGTCTTGTGACAGTGTATAGTAACTGGCGCCGCGACGAGCACCGGTAAAAAGTCAACGCCCCACGTCAGGGGACGGAAGCACCAGTGTGAGGCAAGCGGGGACCAAAGGTAACACAAAAAGAGTGGAAAACTCACAAAAAGGCAAAAAGAAAGGTGTACCGCTGTGCCTCGTGACCTCCTGGCTGGGCTTACCCTATTTAACGGGGTTCAGCCCGGGGAAAAAAAAAAACTGCTAGCACAGCGGTGACCCGACTGGACTGACCCTATTTAACGGGGTCCAGTCTGGTAGAGCACGGTGCACAAGGCAACAACAAAACAAGATTGCTCTGTGTGAAAAAGGTGTGTGTGAAACTATGTGATGGGACTGGCGAAAAGAAAAAGAATGCCTTACTAGGGCGCATCCCCTTCAGGACTGTCGATGTAAAACTGCCCCTTCCGGGGGTGTCCCTGCCCGTCCCGTCGGAGGGTGTCCAGGGTGCCTTTATAGGACCTGCCCAGCTGTGGCTCATCTAGAAGCCGGGACAGCTGGGACTACAAAGGTGAGGAGTCGCCCTTCTACCAGGGCTCTGCCTCCACACTGGGCACGCCCCCGCGGAATGTCACAGTACTTAAGAAAGAAGGAGGTTTTATTGGATTTGACTCATGGTTGACGTGCACTGGTGGCAAATGTTTACCACAGGCCATTCATTAGCCTACTGCTTTATTTAAAGCAAAGCAAAAACTGACTACAGTGTGACAAAATTGACTAGTTTGAAGATACAGTATGGGTGTCTCAGTTAGTCTTACTTGACTTAAGTAGAAGAAGTAACACCATCTTGCCTGTGACTTTTCTAGCTTGGTAATATACTACACAATCCTAACAAATCATCTTTATCATGTACTGTACTTTACATTGAGGATAAGGGTTGTTGTTTTGTCATTACTGACAATTTTAGGTGTCACAGTGTAGGGAATTTAGACTGCCTTGTTCAAAATGCAGTTTTGAGATGGGAAGGGGACTTTCATGGCTATCTAAAGGAAGTGGACAACAGCAGAAAATGTTTGCAAGGGCTTTTTTCAGAACGAGAAATTCTGTAGAGTATTCACACATTATCATCCCATCGTTGTTCACTGACTGGACTGAAATTCATAGCACTAGAGTGACAAATCCGTCAACACGCTAAAATATATTAATTTAAATATAACAGTTGATATATAAATGGTTTCTAATCCTGCATTCAGTAAATTTCAATAATCTTGAAATAATAAACCTAAAATATTTTCATGTATTGGGCAACACGCTGTGCTTCTAGAATATACTGCAAACAAACTCTGCTGTCTACCATGCTTCCTGTCTACCATGTCTGCCATGCTTTCACAACCTTCTAATATACACCTTTAACTTTACACCAGACTTATTTTTCATTGAATATCTGATTTTGCATTAGCCAGTGCCAAATGGTTTTACAAAATACTGAAATTGTACAGTTAAAGTCTATAGTTTTGTGGGAAAACATAATTACTCCCGTCCCCACCCCCACAAAAAAAAAAAACTGTATTTAGCACCAGTTTTTAGTTCAGAATGATAGCACTGATTTTCTGTTAGCTGCAGTTTTGGTTGTAACACAGTGTTCTTGTTCTGACATGATGACAGAATGTAAGAACCTCACATTACTGGCTCTGTCTTCAGCTCTAATGCCAGGATGGCATTGTGTGCAACTGCCACATTTAAGGCATTAATGTGAAGAGAGACGTTTTTTAATATACAGTTTTTGTAATTAACACAGTAATAAATAATTCAACTTTTTGCAGAATTCTTGTAATCAATATGAGAAAATTTGTAGACATATTTACGCACCTCAATGTCTTCTCCAAATCGTTAGAATATGAACCGAAAAACAAAATTATTAATGATGATTAATTTTTCTGCAGGCTGAGTGATAGACTTTCACTGCCATCTGGTATAAGTCATTGTAAATCAGTTTACTTTTCAATCTTCTGGGAAATGTTGACAATGTTGCCTCTACAGGAGATGCTGATCTCCATTTTCACATCTTTTCAAAGTATCAGTATTTGGGGGTAGGCATTTTCTCCTTAAAGGAGAAATATAATCAGATATCTGTGGTTAAGTACTACAAAAGGCTTTGGATAATGAATAATGCACTACAGAGGTTTTTTAACAACACAAATTATTAAAATACATAGTATTCACAATTCCTGCTATCTTCATCCATACAAATCTGATGTTGAACTTTTTCAAGTTATTAAAAAAATAAAAAGTGCTTTTAAATATTTCATTTAAGTAGGCTAAAAACAAATAAATGTAACAAATCAAACAAGTACAAATGGTGTACCTTTCCTTCATAGTTAATGCCATATTCAATCTTTAAACATTAAATTTGAAGGAGGAAGAATTAATGCAATGCTACAGCTTTTTTCATAACCAAACCTAGCAACAGCAATGTTTTTAAATTTTGTGTTGGTTTTTGCTAATTTCTTAATGGAAGTTCCTACTACAATGGCACCATAAAAAATAGTTGAATTTGTGTTAGAATTCATATAAAACAGCACCAGATGCCTTTTACCCTACAAGTTAATGCAAAATATGAATAAAACCAGAAAAGTACATAATTTATGTTTCACTATGTAAATTCAAATCTAGAGTTTTCCTATTTGCAAGTCAAACGCACATTGACATACAGTAAAATTGCAGTAAACAGGCATAATTGAAGCACCAGAAATAAATCTCCTATGAGAAAAAGTAAAAAACAGCCTTGATGATGATCAGAATAAATAGGTTTTTGTGTCTGTACATTTTCATTCAACTTGTATATAAAAACCGTAAAAAAATCTTTAAAATCTTCTCTGAGCACCATTCTTTAAAATCAAAAACATGTACACGTACTCCTCCTACTCACAGTTAAAATCCCATGAAACAGTAAACCCTCTTCCTAAAGATATTTGAGATGAGGAAAATTACAAAAATAAAAAAATCAACCAAATGAAAGTCTAAAAATGTGTTCATCTTACAGCACCATCGAATGCGAGCTAACGTTGAGGTAAGGCAGCCTGAAAGTGATGGAAATGTCACACCCAGCGATTGTAAGGGCCGGTGACTTGAGTCAGGGCGTACGACGAGACGGTGATCACCCCATCCCTGGTTATCGCCAGAGCCCTGCGAGTGGGGATCTGAAGCAGCTCCCGCTCCTCCTGGCGGACCTCCTCCTTGCCAGCGCCGCCGCCAGGCTTGGCCCTTTTGTTCCTGGGCCTGGCGGGGCCGCCCTCCGCCCCGCCCAGCCTCTCCGCTTCCTCCTCTCTCTCCTTGGCCCGCTCCGCCATCTTGGCCTCCCACAGCGCCAGTCCGTGCTTGGGCTCATTCAGGCTCTTGTGCTGGTAGAAGACGAGAGAGATCCGGGTGGGGTGGCTCCGGTTTGGCTTTTTAATGGGGGTGGTGGCGTGGAGCTCCCTCCTGGCACATTCGATCAGGATGGAACCATGGGATGGAGCCACAGCCACTCCGCCAATATCAGCATCCAGGAAGTTGTGTTCGCTGTCCGACCACACTTCCCCAGGTTTAGCCTCGGGGGCTGGACTTTCTGGGGTCCTGCAGACATTATGTGTCCCTTGTATGTGCTCGGCTAGAAGCCCATGCTGATCTTTCTCTGCAAACTGAACTCTGTGAAACCCGTTGGGTCGGTTGCTAAGTGCCTCAGGGGGTTTGGAACAGAACAGTTCAGGAGTGCTTCCATGAGGGTGCTTTGACAGCAGGGAGTTGCTGTTCTTCTTGTTGGGTTCAGTCTTCAGAGTCTGCCAGTTTCTATGTATCTCACTCTGCCCTGTGCCCATGGGATTGGCTATTAAATTTTGGTTCCTAAACTTTTTCTGTTCAGGAAGGCCGGCAGCGTAGCCATTAACTGCATTTCCCAAGCTGTTGTATTTCAGGAGGGGAGGAACAAAGTTTTGATTTGCAGGTAAACCAAGACATCCATATGGGACACTAAAGCTGGGATGAAATTTGGAAAGTGCTTCCATGCCTGCGTTGGGCATGACCGAAGGTAAGGGGTACATTTTACTAATGTCATAAGGTGCAGAAGGATTGTAATTTTCTAATAAGTAATTTCCAATGCCAGTTTGCCGGGGCAATTTAAAGGAGTTGTAGTAATCCTGAGGTTCCAATTTCAAAGATGGTGACTGACTTGATGAAGTGCAACCTGCCAACAAAAAAAGTAAGTCTATTACCAAAAATAAAGTAGCTCTTTTATAATAAATAACTGAGTAAATGAAAGGAAATAAAGAAAGCTTTCTTGCAGGTGTGCATAGGTTCTTGGTTTTATTATAGCTCCCAGAGGTGACAGTTTGGTCAGCCTTTCTCAGTAATATAACTTGTGCAAACTCACAGTCTGGAGTCCCACAGCTTAGTATTTAAACGTACTGTCAAAACTAAGTATAATACAGTAGTGCAACAAAATCTGGCATAATATTGTATCAGATGTTGTACTTCTGCGTGGTTCCTATTTGTGTTTCACTGTTGATAATGAGGATGTTCGCAGGAAAAACATTGTCTTCCTTTGGAAATTATGAATACTTGAATGAGGTCACCTCATAGTCTTCTTCACTGGGAGACTAAAAATATTCAGTTCCCTCAGCCTGTCAGTGTAGGACATTTCCTTAAGCGTTGGAATGGAACTGGTTTCTCTTCTCAGCAATATCTTTCTTGTAACATGGACAAAGGTATTCTTTACAGTGTATTGTACACTTTAAACATCCTCTTTTTAATTCTAATGTTAAAAATGTTAAGTGCTTACTTTTCTCTCATTAAAACTACACACAACTGGATAAACAGGGCCAGTAAATGATTTGTCCTGCCTGTCAACAGAAAAGTAACAATGTGATTAGATGCAATGTGACAACAAAAAGTGGAGGTCAGTTCAGTCCTCTCCTCCTGAGAGTGCACAGAGTGTTTTTTTGTTGTTGTTTGGACTAATATCTGCTGATCCAAGACAGAAAGGCATAATGCCGATCACCCACTCCGCACTGTAACCTAAACCTAAGCTACTCAGGCACAACCCAGCAGCAAAGCAACAGAAGCTTACAGATACACACACTTTAAAAAAAACAGGCAAGGACACGCCATTCACCTGTGATACACTGAGAGCTTCTCTCCTGCTCATTTTTGAGCTTCGCTGGGCTGGTCTGTTTCCGCTCCTGGCTGTTCTGTTTCTCCGCTGCTGCCCGCTTTGCTTCCAGTTTCTTCTTGCGGGCCGACTTGACGGGCTCCGCCAGCAGGCGCACCTCTCTGGGGAAGGCAGACAGGGCCTGCAGGGCGCCCGTCTCCATCTTGGCCCTCTGGCCCTCCACGCTGCCGAACTCATCCGTGTCGGAGATCTTGTACAGGGGCAGCACGTGCAGCTGCTCGTCCTCAGGTATGTTCCTCACCGCACGGTTGTCCTCCTTCGTTAAAGTGCATACCTGCTCAGACATGGGGGAGAAGCCGTATGAAAGAGAGCCTGACTGGTCTCTCTGGTCTGTCTTTTCCCCATTTACAGGTCTCTACAATACAGTGGCTCCAGCAAATCATGTGTAGAATATGTGCAGACATAGTTACTGGAATCACTGTAAAGACGACCTCCTTCTGAATGTAGTGGTTTCATACACAAAATGGCTTTAATAATGCTAAAGACCAAAACAACTAAAATTCCTCGTTATCCTTTGTGGGTCTTCATATAAATAAACATGCAGCATTATTAATGGGCTTTGCCATTATTTCCATTAAACTGACTCACAAAATCTGTAACTGCAAACCAAGGTTCCACAACAGTTTCTGCACAGCTCGCTCAGAAAAGAATCTGTGTGCTTGAAGCGATCTACCGAGATACGTACAACGGTGCTCCCATTATTCATGTTGTGCGTGTCCTTATGGGCATGAGCGCAGAAGTCGACACACGCTGTTACACCTGAGAACGGCTTGCCTTCTTTCAGACCCAGACGACAGTCTATACCCAAGTGTTCCTGCTCCACCTTCAGTCAGAGAAAAAGCTCTTTTAGCGATTCTGATGAAAAATGGCCATAGTATGTCAGAGGAAAACTGAAATAAAACTTAGAGAGGAATACAGTACAATCATGGGAAAAATGTGATAAAGCAAGAGGGAGTCTGTTAAAGAATGAGACAAACCAACAGGAAACTGCAGACTTCTGTGGAAACATCATGATTTTACAGAAATGAGGGTAAATCTCAAATGGCCGTGACACAGAGCCTTGACTTAGTGCTCTATTTTAACCTACTGTATATACAGTATGTATGCTATCCCTTCTTCTACGAAATCTCCTGGCATTGGTCAGGTGTTCTGGGTCCAATTGGAGACTTGCAAGAGCCAAAAAACTGGTATTTACCTTGTAGCTTCTTTAAATACTTAATAACAAATAAACCACATACAGTATACACTAGCTAGGCAACAGCAACAATTTTAAAAAAGGAAACATTATATGAAAAAGTCATTGAAACTTTCTACATTAGTCAAATAAATAACACTTATTACAACATTAAGTTTTGTATATCCTAATGTACAAAGTGACTATAATTGTTGAATTTTTTTTTAGTTTTGCTTTGAGGTGCTCATGCTATAACAGAATGAGATCTATACAATGAGATATACCTTTTCAGATGAACTGTTGATGTACAAGTGATTTTAGATTGGATGTTAACCCTAACCCTACCTGATTCTTAAAGGCCTCCGGAGCAAGTTTCTTGTACACAGGAGCCAAGTCTGTTGCTAAATTCTGAAGATTACTTTCCAACTTCCCTTCCTACACAAAAAAAGTCAAGAAGAAAATAAATTGGTGACAATCAAACACGACATGTTAAATATGTTCAGTAGAACAGCAGCAGATACATTTAATGTAATAAGTGTGTGTTTCTCCTATAATGGACAGCTATTGTGTTTTCATAAAATATGGATTCATGCATCTATATGTGTTGGTATGAATTGACAAGTAAATCACTTGTCACTTTCTTTTCCACTTCTATTACATTAACAAATTTGAATAGTTTAAACCTCTGCCTTTAAAAGCTTAATTTGTAGTGAGGTTACAGAAGATAGAGGCTACTCTCACTTCTGAGAAACCAACAGAGAGGAAGAGAATGACAATAGAAGGGCACAGGAATTTGCCTCCATATAGCACTTGAACTCATTGTTACTCAGCTGAATACAGAGTTAGTATTTCACAATTCTGCTCAATAACAACAACTGTAGCAACAATGAAGAATATCTGCCAGAATTCAAATATAATCTTCCTCATTGTTAAAGCAGATACACACTGTTTAGTCAGACTGAAAATGACTTAATGGTCAAGTGCATCACAATGATGTTGTTAAAGACAATGGTTCTTGACGGACTGGAGGAAAGCATTCTTTCAAATGCAGGAGGAAACTTTCATGTTATCTTGATGGATGTTCACTACATTAATTGTTTCATATTAAATTTCCCTAGTAATGTTTTGGAATTTACTTTCCCATCAAATCTAGATAAACAAAATAGGTTTCAATTTTAAATTGTCTCTCTTAAAACAGTCATCAGATCTGAGAATATATTAAACATGTACTGAGTCAGATTGGTAGCCACAAAACACAGTTTCTCCTACAATATCAAAACCTATTCCTTCTTTACTTACTTTCTGTTTTTCTCATTTTCTCTGCGCTTGGCTAAACGTGGATTAATACACGTTTAGCCAATACACGCATTATTTTGTGGTACATTTTTAAGCACAGACTAACATTCCTTTGTCCAGTGATCTTTTCATCATAAAAGTAGGAGAATCTCATACAGTTGAGCTGATCTTTTATAGACATTAGAACCTGGGTCCGATTTCTGGTCTCCAGATAATAAATAGCTTCTCATTAAGATTTTGCCACACTTAGTTTCAAACCTTCTCAAATGTCTGCTATCTTTGATATTCATAATGCTGATGGAAAAATGCTTACACTTCTAATTCAGTTTGGCATAATTTCTTACGTGAACATCAGACAAATAAACAATCATTATGGTCACAGTTGCCTTAGGAATTGTCTGGAGTTGTAATCTATGCGAACAACTGCTGTACTGTCACTTCACACTTTGAGACAGCTTAGAACAGGTTTCGTTTTAAACTCACCTCTATGGGGTCATCTCCCAGCAGTCTGAATCTGCGAGGGAATTTGCTCCGAGCAAACTTACAGCCATTGAAGTACATGCTCCATGAGCAGCCAAACGAGAAGGATGTTCCAGAAGTCTCAGGGTCAAGGCCTTGACAGGCACAAGTTCGGCTGAGTTTCAAAAAGCGAAAGAAAAAAGAACATAGACCCTGTTATTTTCACCCAAACCCAAGAAAAGATTCTTATATTCCAAACAAAACATTATGTAAACTGACCATTGTAGAGTCCTTGTATGATTTATCCAAAGAAAATACAGCACAGCAGTCAGGCATTATAGTGACAGACCGAAGCAAAGGAACAACAGGATCTGTATCCATTAGGCTGTGGGAACAGTATTTGAGGGGACACATACCAGATGACAGATGGGTATGCAGGTGCTGTGTTGTGTGTTGAAGCTGTATGTTTGCACACCTTACTAACAGCATACTAGAAAGTGTAACGGCTGATGCTTTTATATCCAAACTGACTTACATTTGTATCCATTTATACGGCTGGGTATTTTATAGGAGCAATGTGGTTGAAGTGCTCAAAGGTACAACAGCAGTGTCTCACCTGGGAATTGAACCCACAACCTTCCAGTGAGAGTCTAGAACCCACACTACTGCTGCGGTATCCTACTATCTCATCTGCTCCCAAGAGGATTGTGTGAGTTACAGCCATTGAGCCAAGTCACAGGTCAAACACTTGAGGATTCTGACAACAATTAGTGACTCCAGAAAAACAAAAATAAACACGACAGAACTTTCTGTCTTTCATGAAAACCAGTTTCCAAAGTAATAAAGTATGTAAAGGCTTGGATTAAGAGCAAAAGTATTCAAGGAACAGGACATAAGTCTACTCATCCAAATTATTACACCTCTTTAACAATTCTTCACCATTTTCTGAAAACATTTGATGCAGTACACCTAGCACAAATTTAGTAGTGTTCATTCAGCAATGTGGAATAAGATGGGAAACAAATACTGTCGCCTATGTTACGTGTTCCTAGAAGTACAGCATGCCATTAAGCCATCATTGCGGTATGCTTTCTGCTGACATGGCAACAAGAAAGTGCATTTTGAGCTGACCAGGGAAATGCCGGCAGGAAACCGGTACTCACTCTTCATTTAGAGCACATCTCCGGCTGGTTGGTGAACCATACTTGCAGAGCGTCTCGGTAAGCTCCTGGTACAGAGTGTCTGCTACTATACGCGGGATCCCTTCCCAAGCCAGGATGAGGATGACCACCACAGCATTCTGACAGCAGTGACCTGCTCGCTTTCTCACCAGGCAGAGCAGCTTCTCTTCCACGCTGGCACGCCGGATCACCTGGATTGTGTCACAACACTCAGCTTAGCAATTGACAAAGTCACAAATTGTCCAGCACATCTTTTACATTTCATTGGCTTTCAGTTTAAGAAGACACTTGTAACCCATACAATGGTACACAAATCAGAGCAGGTTAAGATCTTTAAGTACAAGACCCTTATACCACTCATAGCAGTGTGAGACCATCATTCTTTGTTTTTCTGACCGAGAAGGTGTTGGTATTGCCAAGTTTCTTATTTTTTCTGGAATTTCATTCCGTCGATCAGGTCATTTGTAGTGGATGAAAACAAATTAATATAATAAAACATTGGAACTTAGATCTTCCTCTTTTGCTGTCACCTACCCATTTTGCTATTGGACAACCTTGGGAGCTCTTTCCTTCCTTTCCGGTGTAGACCACCACTTCAACACGCACCGCTTTCCCTTTCTCCCCATACCTGCAACAGCGGAAGGCAAGATTTCACTATACTTAAACCAGGCATACACAGAGTACATGGGAATTTGAACCAAACTGTGACATGGTAACATCTAAAATACAGATAAAGCACGATGCTTGAAATTATTATTATTATTGACACAACTAGTATTTTTTCAAGATACCGTTTCATTTTAGGCTGTAGCCACATAAAAACAAAATTCCATCAAAAACACTCCATTCTAATAGGAAAAAATAATGTGCATTTGTTATTTGCATAAACAGTATCATTGGCTAATTGTCTCACTTGAGGCAGTAACAATGGCCAAAGATCTAAATGGCCAAACACTGGTGCTAAATCTAAATTCAGCCTAGACAAATTCTCAGTTAATTATTTTAATCCCTTTTAGAGCAAGAAGTAATCTGAGCACTTAGACCAATGGAGTCCAGACTTTTAATAAGGGACTGCTGTCTTACACTTCAGCGAAATTATCCTTCGGGTTAAGTAAGCTCTCATTATTTAGTGATGTATTATTTTGCGTATGGAAATATTTTACCATTCGTTTAGCTTCTGTTGAGTGAATTAGGCCTGAATAGTATCCTTTTATTTGATGAGATACAGGTTTCTTCCCTGTTTGCTCCTTTATTGTGACTCTGCTCCAACACGTGCTGTGTTATGCTCTGTATTCCCTGACTATATGGAATGAAAGAGTAGATAATAGCATGCAGCCGACAGAATTTGATTTTGAAGAATAATTCTGTATTTTACGTAATTATGTAATATTTGAGGAATTTAATTTTAATCCCCTCCCAGATTGTTGCAAGCTGTTTTAGTAACTTTAAAACCAAAATCTAATTTATTGATTGTTCTCTGTTTTGTCTAATAATAATTTGACTGTAATGAGACAAAAAATAAATTTACTTGAAAGGGTACAGTAAAGAAAAAAAATCTTTGTTTTTCTGTGGAATCTTAACAATTTTTAAAAACGTGTACATCCATAATTTTCTTTACATTAAAATGTTCAATGTTTTGCTTTTTTCAATACTAATATTGCACTTAATAAACCACATAATTCCTAATAACATTTCAAAAGCTCTGAAGCTCTAATTCACTGTGAAACAAATGAACAAAAGTCCACTTTACGTGACTGGGTCAAAAGTTCAATCCGTCCTCATTAAGGCAAAATGCTTATCGGCAATTTCAATGACATTTAAATCTGAGCTTTCCTAAAGTGCCTTGAAGCTTCATTTGTGAATGGTGGCATGTTATCACATCCAGCCCACTGAGTCACCAGAAGAAAAGAAATACACCAGGAGGCTCAAGAGAGCACAGTGACACAGCTGCCACACAGCAATCTCCCTTCACTGGCCAGTACAAACAGAACACAGAAGACTGCACTGCCTGCAAGGTGTGGACCATGGGCAGAATCCATTCACGTTATTTATTCTAAAATCTATCTGCTGCCACCAGTCAAAAAGAGGGTAAGTAGTGTATTCTCCAAAGCAGTAAGATTGCCTTAAAATCCAAATTCAATTATGATGTATTTTCCCAATGAGTTTTGGCCTACACGCCAGCCATTAGTGCAAAAAAACTGCAGGAGACAGTTTTCTCCGCGTGGCTAATTTACATATCGGTCTGTACCAGCTGTACTATTTATTTGCATGACACTGCGCAAAAAAGTGAGTCTTCCAGAACAACATGAACATATGCTAAAGAAATCCCCAACTGGTCCGGGGCTGTTTTTTCATTAAGTCTCCACCAAGGTCTCTGGTGTATAAACAGAACACACAGAAGCACTCTTACTTCCTAAAATTCTCTCACACTAATAAAATATATGCAGGCCTACCTGTTTTCCATCATCTCCCGCACTGCAGAAACACTTGGTCCTGATCCAAGATGTGTGTAGTATGGTCCTTCCTCTTTCTCTATAATTTGTTCTAGCCAGAAAAGTGAACATATTTATTTAATTGCCCACAGGCAGAGAAAGGAATTTATCATTTCAGAAAACATCAAATGTTTTTTTGCTTCACTTATTTAGATGTTACCGCTCATCTAAAAAAAATAATTTTCAAAATCATGGTTACTTGGTTACAAATTATGGTTACATACAGTATTAAATGTTTTGAAAACCAAATCAGGATATATTTTGACATCTGAGAAGTACATTTTTTCTATGGATTGGAGATGATTACTAGAGCACCTGGAATGTGCATTAGACTGAATGGAAGAACTTCAGCAGCATCAACATATTTTCCATTACTTTACTCAATCACAATTGGTACATACTGGTTCCATTCAACAGGTACCAGTGCATTCTGTCTGCTAATGTGTTCTTCGTCTGTCTTGCAGCAAAATGTTTTTATCTAGCTTTACAAAAACATTTTTCAACAGAATGTAAATCTTATCCATCACCATACATTTACTTTTTGCTGTATATGAATGCTTTAAAGGCTATAATATTTATAGTTAATAATGTTCTAGAAGCAGAAATATGTTGTTTGGGAGTATATAAGGTAATTAAAACAGCACAACTTGTTAAGAATATACACGCTGTATGAATAGTCAGGTTAAGTCAGGACATTACTATCTATTGGAAATCCATCCTTCTAAACAGATATTTTGAAGGCCTTAATGTGGCATTTAACAATGTTTGAATAACAAACTCATTACAGCCTTTTCACTTACCCACACAATCACAAGTTGGAAAGTCCGATCCTTTTTTGGAAGGTGTGTCAATCAGATTTTTGGTTGGGGTGTCCAAGAAGTTAAGAGGAGACTCAAGAAAGCTGTTTAAAGTGTTTTTGGTTGGCGTTGATTCCCCATTGAAGTTGGGTTCTACACCACTGGAGTTCAGATTTGATGTGGAAAGGACAGTAACAGAACCAGATGTTTCTATCTTGATACATCCCTCCGCTGTTGAGGCAGGTGGCAGCTGACCTAGAGAGCTGATTTTTGATTCGTTGGAATATATTTTGCTGCTTGGAGGTTCATTTCTGTCTTGAGAGGCTTGAACATAGAATTGGACCTTAGCAGAGCCTGTGTCTAAATTAGCACCATGTTGCTGCCCATCTAATGATTGAGCTACCTGAGTATTTGAATCACATTCTGTTTTTTGCCTCAGTGAACCTTCCAGGTGTTCACTTTTCTGTATTAAATGCCCATCAGTGTTCCAATCAGGATGAAGTTCAGAGGAGTCATTTGAAGGTGGAAGCCCAGAGTTTTTACAAGAAACAGACTGTAAAAGAGAATTATGTTCTAAAAGTTCAGACTTAACACCATCTTGAGGATTATTCTGGTAAATAAGAGCCTGTTTGTCCTGAGACACCTCTGCAAGATAGCTTTTCAGGTCTATTTGAGTCTGTGGAGGAAACAGGGGTGATTTGTGGTTCTGCACCATTTGTCTTTGTGGGAACACCTTTTGGACTTTGGTTCTTTGGGGTGCCTTGGTGTTTGCACCTCTTTTGGGAAAATGTCCAACATGATTCGCGGGTGACTGTCCCCAAAGGTGTCCGTTGGTGTCTTCAAGCTTTTGCAACTGTGCTTTTTTAGTTCTCTGCTTGGAAGGGGGTGTTCTGGTCTTCTTCAGTGGAGACGTGCTCAGGCCTTGCAGCAGTGAGTGATGATTGTTCTTGATGGGCTGAAGGGGGAATCCTTGGGGAGTGTGCGGGGCCAGCTGGGCAGTGGACGTTTCATCGACTCCTGAGGAATTCACTTGGCCTTTTTTGTGACTTGATTCAATAATGAATGCAAGCTGGGCCAGCTGAGCTGCCACATCTTCCTCATCCTTATTCCTGACCCTTTTATTAGGTAGGAGAGACCCATCTGAACAAGGGGATTGCTTATGTCCTTGAAAGGGGGCACCTCGACCATCTAACCCTTGTGTTCTAAATATCGTGTGGTCTCTGTGGAAATTGAGGCTTTGTTCAATGTAAGAACACTGTTTTTCAGGACTTACATGAGTTTGGATCTTATCTGTTAAAGAACTGGCTTCTAAAAGATCCTGTAAGGAAAGTTTGCCTGTTGACAATAAGGTTTGAGAATTATTAATGCTGCCTTGATTATGCAGTAAAGCAGGAAGAGTGGCATTCTCATGCTGCAGTGAACTGACTGTGAGGGTGTCTCTTAGGCAAGAGCCTGATGCTGAATTCTTGTCATTTGGAAGTTCAGCTTTGCCTGGTGGAGGTGTACTTACCTCTGGGCTATGACAGGTTTCAGCGGTTTGTGCAAGGTTTTGCAGTGGAATTTCTGAAAGCTCCGTCAGAGCCTCGATAGCTATGGCCTGTTCAATGCTTATGTTTCTTTTCTCAACCAATGATTGGAGACTTGGATGAGAGAGCACCAAAGAGTTTCTGCAAAAGGAGGCATCTATGTTTTCAAGACTTGTAGCACCGTTTGTAGCACCACTTGTAGAACAAGCATCATCTGTGGTGACCTCTGTTTCCTCTAGTTTGCAAGTCTCATTTCTTGAAAAGGGGGAGATGGGTTTTGTAATACCGTCACTTACTGCCTGCCTTTTAGATATTGAGTAGCAAACAACAGCAGCCAAAGTGGTTAATCCATCCTCATAGTCTCCATCGCTTTCTAACTGTGCCAAAGAGATCTGATGATGAATTCCCACACAGTTCTCCTCTAGCTTAATCTTTTTTAGTGGCACAGTATCTTCCAAGAGTGACTCAGCCTTGGATTTAGGGCTGTTTCTGGGGTGCCATGGGAAAGATTCTTGGAAGTTAGGTGGAGATTCCAGACAACTTGTTTTTCTTTCTCCATTGTGGTTCCAGTTTTCGGGATTGTTCCCAGAATCACAGAGGTGAGAAGGTTGCTGTGCACTGTCTCCCACCTGCTCCTTTTCCAGAATGGGGTGTGCGTCTTGCTCTTCCTTGACCACTGGTGAGATGGGGTAAATCTGCAAGGCGAGATCCTCCTCTTGCATAGAAAAGGATTCTTCCATCTGACTTGACTTTGTGCCATTTACTGAATGTCCATACGACTCAACCTTTAGATCAACAAAACATGAAAACAAAAGTGAGCAAAAAGCAGGCAAGATCACCATCGTCATCAATGCAAGAACACCATCATCATTAAAAACATTATGTATGTAGTGTTTTGATTTGCACTGTAGAAGCAACAAAATAACTCTACAAAGCAGATTGTCTCTCTGCAGTTATATGGACACACCGAGAGTCAAAGATTCATTGAAATTAGTCAGATTTGTGTTTGAATTTGTCTGTGCAACAGACAGGAAGTACACTGCTGCAGGGGAGTTATTTTACTGCATGTTTGTTGATAACCAAGGTTTGCCAACACCTCGCTTACCACCTGTCAATGAGTAACTCATAATATGATTCTAAAAAACACTGTTAATATAACTTTAACTGGTCCTGCTCCAGGAGTAGCTGGAGCAGGATATAGGTGCTTGTCAATGGTTCTCAATTCAGTTAGATTAATCAGTAGACTCAAGTGATATTGCTCAGCTGATGTTTTTTTCATACAACGTATGAAGACTTCACCATCAAAGAGGGGGTTTTGACATTGTTGTCTCTTAAAACAACAAAGGTGTCGATATCTACAACATGGTGAGGAACCATTTTGTTGAAAAGAATGCGCCAGTCAAGAAGTCAGTGTCAAAAACAGTGGTCATGCAGCTACCAAAATACCAAACAAGCAAGAAGGGCCAAATGATCTTGACTAATTTGCAACTTTTTTTTGATGTTCTTGATAAAAAAAAAACAGCACTGGGAAGTTCAGAATAAGCTGTCGAATGCTTAGAGAAAAAGATGTGGTTTTTCTGTTCTCGCCATTTCTAGCAGTGCTCTAATTACACACACAGAGGAAGCCTCAAACCAAAGATGAGAAGAGACATGTACACTACTGAAACACCACAGATGTGTTAATAGAAAACTGCCATGTTTGTTACTATTATATAAAAAGAAAACTATTTTTACTTGTTATGACACAGTCATTCTAATAAAATAGTCCATTAAAATATATTCTCCATTTTTAGATTTAAGAAGGATTCTAGGCATTTTAAGAGTAAAAATCTAAGTTGTCTTTCGAGTGCAAATCATGAAATTTATGTTGTGCTATAATGACGATTCAACTATAGTTCAATTTTGTTTGTCTTTCATATAAACTTGCATTAGTATCAACAGTTTGAGTTCTCTGTATTGTAGAGCTTAATCAACAAAATTAATTGTTGATCTCCAGCACAATCTAATTTCAGCTGAGACATATTAAAAGAAATGACATAGGAAAGCACCACGGAGCATTAAGTCCCAATGAACAATGAACCTAGTGTTCAATACTTAAAATAAATCATGGTTGGAAAGTGTTTTCTTTTTCTTGTGGCCTTCATTACATTTGAACAGCATAAGAAAATAATCACACAAAATCTTTTATGTGCATCACCAGAAGCAGCTGTTGATGTATTTGCTCTTTATCCTGGGGTAAAAGTAGTAGTTAAAATCGAAAGAATCATTTTAATTTCTGTGACACTGCAATATGGACTATTGTACGGTTTAACAGCAATATCCCCAGAACTAAGCTGTCTGCACTATATTTACTCTAACAAAATTAGAAGCCTTATGTTACTAAAATAAAAACTCATATTACACTTAATTACAAAACCATATACTAATATGACTATGGCAACAACAAATATGACTTTTTTTATAAGCCTTGTGGTTTTTGTGGTATAATGCATAGTAAAATAAATATTACCAAATAGAGTCAGACATATAGTTTGAAATCACATCTGCCATACAAAATACTATTCCAACAATTACCACAAAAGTCCACAAAACAAAGTCTGCAAAGTATATAATCATTGTGGTAATCAGATGTTAAACTATAGAGCTGTGCCCTGAAGGTTCCAGTGTAACATGTGTGTCAGACATCCATTTGTATCAGTAACTAAGTAATTAAGCCATGGCTAAATACCCTGGTTCTCCCCATTTCTATGCACAACAGAACTATCACGCAGGTCTTCTCTTCAAACTGGAGCCTGGAGTCAGACTGGTTGCCAGCACTATTTTCCCTCACCAGGTTTCTTGAAAACACAGATTCCAATTGTAAATTCATGCAACTGCTGCTAAACAGTGATTACAAGGACCGGCCAACTCACACTCCAAACTGTTTTCTTTCAAAACAACAAGGTGTTGCAACTCTTCTATTCACAAAGACAAGCAAGATAAAAAAAACTCTTCCACATTCATTACTTACACAAGTAAAAATAAAACTGGGACATTTAAAGTGGATGTTCCAGTTGGTAAAATAACTTTTGCATTTAGTATTTAACAATCACAAGCAATGCACTCCATATCATCACTGGCTAAGCACACAGAGTGCTATTTTAGTTAGCAAAAAGATTAAGGTAAAGAAGGGTGTTGTTGAATGGGTATTTCCTGCATTTAAGTCTAGCCTGCACTTTTGTCATCTAGTCTATGTGTCTCATAGGTCATTCTATCAATATTTATGTGCATGATGCTTTGTAGACCACTGAGAAAAGAGAGTTTTTGCGGAGCTTAACTATGATATTACATGCACACTCAATAGCTAGATATTGTTTCCCTATACGCAGACCTGCAGACCTGTCTATGACTCTTGAAAATCCCTTGTAATTATTCAGCTCCTTGACTTCTGAGACAATTTGAAAGCTTTAGTCCATCCCAGTTGTCTGTGAAAACTCTTTGAAGTAGAAATTATAGCTGTTATGAGTTACACTACCTTACCCAGGATTTTCAGCACGTATTACAACATGTATAGTGCACTTCTGGTCTAGTGGTTACTGTATACAAAGCAGTTGAGACCCCCTTAGGTCTCAAATATAAATGGCAAAAAAATACAAACACACCAGTACAATCAAGGTTATTTATGTTTACTGAGCATTAAAAGCATCCATCTGGAATGGCAACAAATTTCACAGTAACTATAAAAAAATGAAATAATGGAAAAAACAATGCACAGACTTGTAGCATGTGTGGCCCCTGTCCGAAACAATACAAGCTGGAATTCTGTGTCACATGATTTGCACCAGGTTGTTGATACTGTCTTATGTGACTCTGTCTCATTGTAAACATTGGACAAGCGTGTACCAGATTTTAACAAGGCTTGACATTCAAAAGGTGCTCAGCATCACTTATGTCCAAATGTTCAAATCCATATGTCCAAATCCAATTTATTTTTCTAAGAACACAAATGCATAGAGTGTCCCTGTTCTGTTTCTTCTGATGCTCAGTGTACATACATATTCTCAAGGTGGGTGGTTTTGAGGAAGCAGAACAGTACCTATCACTCAAGGAACAGCTCACCGACTTCATAGGTTAATACTATTGACATCAGAACAGATTCCGGCGTCTTCAATACTGGCCAGTGGCCATTGGTGTTCTGTGTCTTGCTGATCAAAACAGCACTGCCCAGGCAGGAGGCAGCAGATACTGTATTTATATACTGATTAGGCAGTTGTTAGATTTCCAGACCAAGAACAAATGAGCATTTCCTTTCCTTATACAACAGACATGATCTGCACAAAACAAAGAAGTATATATGTAGCTAGCTTACAGTTCAAGTTTTAATGTTTGCATAAAACAAGGTTTTTTAGAACACTTATAACTTAGTAATCCACCATATTAACAGTTTTGAAGTATGCATTCCTGAAGCAGGTGCGCTCTGTTGTGACTGAGTCTATGACAGGAGATCTGTAGATTTTGTTTCTTGTAATGGTCATTCACATTAGCTTCAACTTTACCAACAGAGATAAGATGCTTCTTTAATCAACATCTTATGAATCTTTCACTTAGATGTTGGCCTGCAGAAGGAAGCTATTTCGTTGCAGAGTACTTATCTCTAAATGTATGAAAATCCATACAGTAATCACACGGAACTGCTCTTGTCTCTACTGGAAAATACAACAGGTGGCCTGAACAGAAAACGTGGAGATGTGCTGTTTCTGTTTCAGCACTTACAGATTTGAGTTAGTTTTCTTCGTAAACATTACTTCATTTCAAGAACAGTGCATCTAAAAATTTAAAAGCCATTACTTTCTATCTATGACTAGAAAGTCTTTTATTCCTGATTAGCACAATAATAACTCAGAGCCTAACTAGGCAGCATAGGGCATAAGGAGGTCTACACTCTGAACAGGACACCAGGACATCACAGGGTGCACACACACAGGGACAAATTTAAGGACAACAGCTAAGTTAGCCAGTATGTCTTTGGCCAAAGTGGCAGAAACGAAGTGCACCTAGAGAAAAACTACAACAGTTAAAAAACTCAATCAAACATCACATGCTCTTTACAATATGTGAATTAGTTTAATGCTGCCAAACCTCCCTTCTTCTCTGAATTTACAAGTTACTGTATTTAAAAAAAAGCCAGTAAATCTGAAGATGCCTAAATCCTTCTTTCCTTTCATGCATTTGTTTCAAATTAAGAATATCAGTTGCTTTTATTTGAATTGTCTATCCCTTTACTTTTAAAATAAAAGGACTTACAAACTTCAATGTATAAAAAATTGTGCAAACTGTCAGGTACGATAATATTGTGAGGCTGAGCTTTTTAAAGCTAGAAGAAAAAAAAAAACTTCCTTCCTGATTCAAGTGCATTTCTCTGAAGTCCTGTGTGTTTTCATTCACAGAGCTTACCTTTCCTGTTTCAGCTCCAGACTGCACTGAACCCAAATAAAACAACAACTGAAAATAGTATCTCACAAGAGCACATTTCTAATAATACCACAGACATAAAATTTGTCTCCCCATATTCAGATGTTCTTTATTTCATTTCCATTAACAAAAGCAGGTGCTTACACCTTCTTTATCTTACCATTATGAACACAGTAAAGCACTCTATGAACCAATGGCATGACTAAAGATGTAAAATTAGGCATCCGTTACCTTGGAAACTCGCGTTTTTCTCTGTGGTTTGGTTGTATCCTTGCTCCCCACCTGCGACAAGACATGTGAACATATTAGGATCCTAATACAATAAAATAGGCTCAAACAGAATTGAGGAAAACCTAAATGATTTTCACAATTCAAGCAAATTGAAAATAACTGTTGTTTTACCTTTCTTTTCCCCAAAAGGAAACCCTCAAATATGGGCAACATATCCTATAAGGTAGCCATCTTGCTTCCTTCAGCTTCAAAAGAATAACTGGCTACAGTACCTCATTCTTCAGAGAGCCTTTGGTATCATTATCATAGCGCTGGAGAGCAGTTGCTGGCTGCTGGTGCTGCAGACGTGCTGGGCATGCCTTTTCGCAGAAGCAGCCAAGGCCAGAGCAGCCAATAGCGTGAAGAGTTTAGCGGCTTGTAAATTATCTTCCATGCCTAGACCCTCCTAAACAAAGGATCCCCTATGTGGGCTTTTACTCTACAACTACGCACGAGGGAGAGATACAATCTGTGACATGGAGACTGCAGAAGCCTGGACTGGAGCTGACACTCTCACGCAGACACGACGCCAGACTTCAAATCCAGAGTGAAAAATCCTGTCTGGTTCTTTTTTTCTGTTTTCAAACTTTCAGTTTTCAAAGAAATAAAGCTTATGACTTGTTCACTGACATTCACGTACAACCCATGGGGCATGAAAAGCAATAAAAAAGTTTCAATGTCTGTATATCTTTATTGTGATCATACAGAATGCCTAAACCTAGCTCAACAAGTCTATAAATCAACTTAACACTTACAATACATGGTCATGCACTGAAATTACATTTTAAATAAGTATTTATAAAATAAACTACACAATTATCAGAACAGAAATTCTTTTAAAAATGCAAGACTCCAGCTAGTTAAAAATAATATTTCCTTCAGTGACCCATTCAGTGCCACCTTGTTAGGTCAAGACCTCCACACGGGGATCTGCTGCCCTGGATAAACACGACCTTGCTGATTAAGAGTCTTCAAGTTCTGAATTAACAGGCATTCATGGGAAGGTTTACACCCACATCAACAAAACTGAATTCAGACATTTTTTAATCTTGCCAGAACAAAACAGAATGTCCTCGTTAAAACACTTGACCCCATCGCTTATTTAACATTTAATCTGACATTCATAAAACAACTTCTAGGACATACTTGAGAGGAGCATCACTTTAACCAGGATTTCTGTATTCAAAGACGTAAATTCCCATATTAAAGCTTGGCCATGGATTGATGTGATTAGTCTGTAAAATGATCCCATACATAACAGAAAAATGTATGAAACCAGACTATAATTCCTACAGTTTACACAGATTTTGTATGACTCAGTGAGAGGCTGGTAAGAACCTCAAATATTTTGGGCATAAGACAAATGATGGATTTGATAAGGGAACTGTGCCACAGAGAATTAAAAACTACCATATTTTATCAGACATTTCACTGTGATGATGACTGTGTTATAACTAAAACTAGACCCTTCAAACACCAGCAGTATTCCCCAGCACTTTGAAAACTTTTAAGAAACGTTTCCCATTTGTGATTAGACTACGGCAGGATCAAGACAACCTGTGATTACCACAACACAAGCTTAATACCTGTCAATGTTAGTGTGATGAAGATGGCTGATGAAACTTTATGGCAACATTTATCTTGCCGAAAGGAACAGGGAAGAGTGTGACCTCTCTTGCAAAAATGCAAGCCTTTTAATAAAAAAACAAATTATTTTTAATGCTATGAAATCCCTAAGAACCTCCCAGCTCTGCTACTGTGATGACTTGGTTTCTCAGGGAATTTTCTTTCCCCATCACAAAGAAAAGTGAGTGGAGTAAACAGCCCTGTTTTTTTTTTATTAATGGCAGCGATAGATGTGGAAACACAGGAGATGTTGTGGAGCTCTCCCTTGCCCTCTGGGATTTTTTCAGAAGCTCAAAACGAACTCCTTGCCTATTGAAGGCATACCGGAGTTCTGCAGCAAAATGCCATGCTGTTTTTTTTTAACAAAAAAAAAGCCAACTGAGGGGTTTTTAATTAAATTCCGCATGCTGTAATACTAAAGCTAAACATGTGGTGCTGAAGGTCATGTGAGGACAGCAGTGAGCTACCTCCAGCTGTCAGCATGTCGGATTCCATATTACTGCCGTTTTCAAACTCTGTTATGCACTACACCATCCAGACAGCCCTTCTACCATGCTTCTTAAACCTGTGGCAGCAGCAAGACGCTCTGCAACCAACAAGGGCATTTGAGCTGAGGTTTTTTTGCGGCTCAAAATCGAACTGTAGTTATGTCTGTCTCGTCATCCAGGATATACTTTAGGAAACTACTACTCATGGCAAACACACAGAGTGCAAGTGTAACAAGGAAAAAGTAGAACGAATTTATAGAACCAGAGGGTATCAGAATAAATGAATAAAATTTACCTGACATGCATAAGTATTCAACATTTGGTCTACATTTGCATGCTGATTCTGATTCAATAAATTGCATGTTTTGCAAGCTTACAACAGGCTGTCCTACAAACCAAGGTGTTGTCTGACATGAGCTGAATGTACTGTCAAGTATGTATTTTGTCATCCCTCTATGTGCAATTATAATAAGACCATGGGTGTGTCTTATACACAATCAACTGCCTGAACTGGCTGCTTTTAAACACACATAGTTAGGAAGCCCATCATCAGACTTGAATCCAGGAGTTTATTCTAACAACACTGTTGAGAACATATACTGTAACAGGTACAGCGTATCCTGTCTCTAGATTTTAATTTAAGGTTGAGGGGACCTTGTTATTGAAATAATTTATTATTGTAGACTGTAGCCCTTTGTTTCAGACTTTATTTAAATGTATATATTGCATTACCTGCAAAATAAGGGAGATCTTCTTAATCTGAAGACAGGAGAGACACACTCAGCAGGAGCAGCATGTACCACTAAGGGTCTATGGCATTCAATATTGAAAAATATGGTTATCAGAGTGTTATTGTTTCAGCCTTGAAACTGTAAAAACAAGACCATCCTACCTTACCTGATTTTGTTACATTTATAACTTCAGAAAATAAGCTGGTACTCTTTAAGTGAAATAAATCTGTTAAATAACCATGAAAATTCACCTAAGGTGTTAAACTACACTAACGTGGCTAAGGACTGAAATTTGACATGGCTTCGGAATAATACTGCAGATCTTAATAAAGACTTCCACTGCAAAAAGCAACAACAACAAAAACAAGTCAAGACTCAGTAAAAGTACAGTCTATGTGATGACTAACAAAGAACAAGTGTTAAGAAACAACATTCCCGATCTGATGAGCAGCTGCAATTAACAGAAAGTGCAAGTTAATTTTAAATTCTCCCCCCAAAAAAATGTTTTACATTCACATGTTTAGTCTAGGAAAAATCAGCACTTCCAGTACAGGAGCTCTTTCAGGGTAGCAAGATCACTGGCAGCCCCGACAGCCCTTAAAGGGTTAACCTTCAGCTGTGTAGTGATTTGGCTCGCCTCCCTCTCCCTCTTCTCTAGCTCACTCAGCTCTACGTAAAACGACAACCCTCAAGATCCCCCGACGTTTGCCGACTCAAGCGCTGAAATCACGACCTCTATTCACACTCGCCCGCCCCCGCATTCACGCGCGCCAAGTCCTGCTCCTGCCGCTACACAGGATTTTATAGGTGCAGCTGAAGATCCGCCGACTCCGGAGGCACGATTCACCTTCCACGGCTTTCAAATCAGGACAACCGCAGCACGCCGCTCTCATTCAGTGTACCCAGCCTCGAGTTCCCCGTGAGGCAAGTTCGTTTGACCGAGATCAAAATCGGCACGCTGCAGCTTTCTGTCATGCTTCGTGTCAACAGTCTCTAACAGAGTGTACACAACTCACCCCAAAGAGGAAACAAAAGGCTTGTGAAGCGAACAACTTGTGCTTCTCTGCCCGCACTGTAGCAGAACTTTATATATTCAGTTCTTGCTCACATACACCGTCTTATAACACAATTAGCTACTCGACGGTTTTGCTTCTGTTGAGTATGAAACCCCAGTAACTTGATCATATTGTGGAGAATTAGAGTGGAAACATACAGTCCTTGAAAAATGTCTTTTCACAACAGCAGATTTTTGCATTTTTGGTAATGTGAAGGAATTAAAGACTGTTAATGCAATTCTTTTGACCATGTGTGGGGGATATTATAATACAATCTTCACTGATGTTCAGCAAAATTAACTTCATATAACAATTACAGAATAAAGTTTTTTTTTATTTAAAGCATGAAATAAACATGTACAACACTACTGCAGAGTAATTATGGTACTCACTCATTTATTTTTCTCTTCTGCTGGTACAACCAGATCTAAACGAGTACAGCGACACTTAAAAAAAAACAGCACTTAAGGCATTACTAACAGTGTAGTCACATATCGTATCACTGATATGCTGACATGTTAAAGCAATTCCTAAAGAAAACAACTCAACCTGACAGACCAGTTTATGAACATTAATTCGGCGCTTTCCTGTGTGACGCAGTACTACGTTGGTGTGCTGCGGAATCAGAAGAGATCAGGTTTTAAAAAGTGCAGATCAGGGGTTTCTGTAGTCCCTCTCAGCCCTGAACCAAATATTAAATCTGCGATGCTCACTGAAACAAGCCTATATTTCACGTCGAATTTCTAGTCAAAAAGTGAAGCCATTTATTTCTCATTTAAATTGCATTGCATGTTTCAGTTAAAAAAATGTTATTTCTTACAATATTGGTGCAGTTCATTTTAACATCATCTGGTGTGTCATGAAAAGTTTGGTACGTTACAAACTTACTTTCAGGTGTAAAACTTTAGGAAGCACTTAACTAAGTGATTGAATTAACAGAGGTGCTACTGCATACATACTCAAAAACAAACTACAATGCACAAATCACTTACAGCACAAAGTCTGGGAAGTCAGTCCCCTGGAGAACGAGGTTACCCTGGGTCATCGAAGACCTGTCTTTTGACTGTAGACCTGTCCTGACCTCAGAGAAAGTGAAGAGCTCCCCTTCTGTT